GAAAAAAAAAAAGAAATAGTGATCATGAAAGACACCCAACAAACCTTTTCTTGTCTTATGTGTGTGCCAGGCGTGAGTACACATGCACACATGTGCATGGAAACACACTCTTACAGACACTTATGAAAAAAAAAAAAAGCCTTGACAGCTAATATTATATCTTGTGGTAAAATGCTGGCTGCTTTCTCTGTGTAGTGGTTTGAAATGAGAATGGCCTCCACAGGTTTGCATGTTTGAATATTTGGTCCCTAGTCAGTGGAACTGTTTGGGAAGGAATATGAGGTGTGGCCTTGTTGGAGAAGGTGTATCACCAGGGGTGGGCTTTGGACTCTAACCCTCTGACACTGTAAGCCCCAAAATAAATTCTTTCTTCTCTAAGTTTGCTTGGCCATGGTGTCTTATTACAGTAATTTAAAGTAATTAAGACACCTCAAAAGAAAGAAGGCAAGACAAGGGCCTTCATGAATATAGTCAAAATAATGAGTAACAAAATAAAAACTGGTGGACTGGACTCCATCAAAATTAAAACCTTTTGTTCTTCAAAGGACAACATTTGGAAAGCAACAATCAAGTCTCATAATAGAATAAAATATTTGAAAATCGTGTTTGAGATAAGAAACTTATATTTAGAATATGTAAAGAGCTGTTACAACTCAATACTAAAAAGACAAATTTAAAATGGGCAAGAGACCTAAAGGCAGAATATTCATTGCTGGAGATAGAAGTTTAGTGTTGCCCCCTCAGCACCATGGGTCCTCGGGTACTGAAGGACAGCTGTGCTACTTGGAGAGCTGTGTGGCTGTGGGGACTGGTCCTGTGGCTGACTCCAGTAAGCATGAGAGTCCCTGTGAGATTTTTTTTTTACCTAGTCTCTGCCCACTATGCCTTACTGGGTAAGGAGGCCTGAGTCCATTTTACTCAGATTGTCATCTGTGTGGTCTGATTTCCATGGAAACCAGCATGACTCGCTGTTCCTCATCTGGCAAGAGTAGAGGAATCAGCTAGATGGTCTCTTCCTCTAAACACACACACACACACACACACACACACACACACACACACACACACACCTGCTTCTCTCCATGCTCCTCATATTGGAGCAATTCTCAGGTGCCCAATATGATCTCAGGGATATGAGGAGCTGCTTCCAATCTGTTGAGGTTTGCTGAGAGATCAGGAACTCCTTGAGGACCTACCTCATTCACCACCAGGTCCCAGGTCCCAGGTCCCAGCAAAGGTTTGGTGTAGAGCAGATCCTTGAGCTGGGGCCAGGAACAGTAGAGGAACAGGGATGCTTTCCTGTTAGACATTTGTCTCTGAGGATTTGTACTGACTCAAGCAGGACACACAGAGGATGACATGGGCAAGGAGTGGTATATAGTAAATGCACAGCACCCACCAGATCTTCTCTATGCTGGGTCCCTCTCCATGCTGAAGGGCAGCTGTGCTGCTTGGGGAGCTGTGTGGCTCTGGAGACCTGCCCTGTGGCTGGCTTGAGTAAGCCTAAGAGCCCCTGTGAGGTTTTTATTTTTGGCTTAGACCCTCTCCCCCTACTCACCTTCATCACTGGTGTGAGGCTCTGTGCCATTGTCATGGTCAACTTCATCAATGGTCCCTGGCTCACTGTGTGGGCTGTCACTGCAAGCAAACATAGGAAGAGGATGTGTTGGGGACTTTCTTAAATACTCCCTTAGTGACTCCTAGTTCTGGAATTGACTAGATTGTCAAAGGCTTGAGTATGTGGCCCACATGTATTAGAAACATCATCCCCAATGCCACAGTGTTGGGAGGTACAATCTAAGCACAGGTGACTAGGCCATATGGGCTGTGTTGTCAGAAATGGATCAGTGTTGATCAAGGTTAGTTACATGAGAGCAGACTTATAACTGTGCTAGCCCTGACCCCTTTGGGCAATCTTACTTGTTCTCACACTTTCTTTCCCTCTGCCTTCCACCATGGGATGATTATCATGACTGCCCTCACCACATGTGGTATACCTCGTAGTTTTCAGTACCTTGAGCTACAGAGACTTCAGTTCGTTATAGATGACGCAGTCTTAAGTACACTAGCAGACGTGGGCTGAAATGCTATGACATCAATGAGATTCAGATGGCAGAGGGAAACTGCAAGCTTCTGGAGACCAGGGCTCTCCTTATGGGGTGTGTTTGCATGTGTGTGCGTGTGTGCGCACCTGCGTGTGTGCCTGTGTATGTTCTAATACACACCACTGTATTAAATAGGAAGGACTCAATGACAAATCAAGTGGACCAGGTCCCTGACCTCACTGCACACATTCTAGGGAGAGAAGACAACCCAGGTAATAAGGCCAGTGCATAAAACAGTTGCAAGATGAAACAATGATTTATAAGAGAGAAACAGGCTGAAACAGAGTAGCAGGGGGGACCAACATAGAGTGATCTAGATGGCTTTTAAGAGGAGGTGACATTTATGATGTCATTAAAAAAAATAGAGAGCTCTAGGCAGCTCAGCTGGTAGTGTCTAGGGCGTACAAAGGCCTGCCTTCTCTCTCAGGCACCACACAAACCTGGCCTAGCAGTGCATGTCTGTAATTTCAGCTCTCAGTAGGTAAACGCAGGAGGATCAGAGGCTCAAGTGAGCTTCGGCTATATAATGAGTTTGGGGCCAGTCTGGGCTCCACCAGACTCTGTTTTAAAAGGAACAAAAAGAAACAGAGACTACATTGAAAAATTCCCCATTGCCACCAGGATTAGATTCAAATAAAGGTCACCAGAATTGGCTACCAGCTGACCTGTGTAGCCTGGTACCTCAGCACCCTCCTGTCATACACCCCAACTCAACAAGTTGAGCCACTTTTCATTCTTTTCAGACTTTCTTGGCCCAGGCCTCTGAACTGGCCCCAGTTTAAGCTGCTGGCTTGGATCTTTCTTTACCTCCTTTGGGAAGCCTTTTCCTGGTGGCCTGTGATTGGCTCAGGGGCCCCTTCTGAAATAGCTTGCTTCCAGTTCTCTTAACACGCCTTCCCTCCCAGCTGAAGCTAATCTTACTCAGGCACCATCTCTACCACCTGGAAACCTGGAGATCCAGTCCCCAGAGGATGCTGGGTGGTGGCAGGGCAGACAGGACTGCTGAATGAATGGATTTTGTCCAGTGTACTGAGACCTTCAGCTTCTTCTCCCTTGTTAGTTTTGAAAATACCTTCAAAATGACCACGTAATTGCTAATTTTCCAGTCTCATCAGAAATGAAGAAAAGTGTTAAGTGTTGAGTGTGTATTGTACATGTATAATTTGTGTGTTTATCTTCTCTTTGTGCCAAAATTGTGCTTCCTAGCTAAATAAGGGTCCTGTACAGCGTTAGGACAGGGAGCTGTGACCAGATGCCACTGTGACCAGACACCCTTGTGGCCCTTCATGTCTATTTGGGGAAGAATTTGCACCGAGACAGAGGGGCCTCTTTGAAGCAGTTGCCCCCCAAGCCTAGAGAACACAGGCAATTGAAGCATTCAGGCATACTTTAATCAAAAGCCAAATTCCCACTGGGCATGGTAGATCAAGTCTATGATTCCAGCACTTACTGAGGCAGGAGGATCACAAGTTCAAGACCAGACTGGGCTAAATAGTGAGACTCTGTTTCAAAACACCAAGCTGAAAGGCCTAAGTTCCCTGCAGGCTCCTGGCAGAAGGACTTACGTGTATTTCTGTGTTGCCCTGGAGTGGGGACAATATGACAGCTGGGACATTTGGCTAGTCTCAAGCAGTACGCACCTCCCTCCCAAATTACTAAAAATGTAATTGGTAGAAAAGGCATACAAATTACACATTTGTGAGGTACCACGTGATCCTTCAATAATATGCACACATTGTTTGATGTTTAAATCGGGTAAACATACCCGTTTCCTTAAACGTTTACCTTAAAAGTATTTATTTTATTTTAAAAGTTATTTGTATGTGGGGGTGGGGTAGGAGTGGAGAGGATATGTGTATGTATAAGTGCAGGTGCAGGTATAAGTGCCCTCCTTGGAGGGCAGAAGAGGGCATCAGATCACCTGGAGCTGGAATTACAGACAGCTGTGAGCTGCCTGATGGGTGCCGGGAACTGAACCGGGATCCTCTGTAAGAACAACGCATACCCTTAGCTGCTGAGCCAGATCAGTGCTGATCCAGCCCCAGCACTGATCTTTTTTATTTTATTTTGGTGCCGAGGATCCAATTCAGGACCTCCCGTGCAGTAAGTATATGGTTTACCACTGAACTATACATCCCGAGCTTCTCTATCATTTTTCCATGTGAAAACTTTCCTTCATTCTAGTTTTCTGAAACACCTTGTATGTTGGCACTGCCCATAGTTACTCTTTCATTACAACTTAAACACATATCTATCGTCACTCTTTCAGGCTTAGCTTGGGAAAGGTTGCCAGGCCTGATTCCAAAAAGGTTCTTAACTATTTCTCCTAATACAGGGAATCATGACAGCAGAGAGAGCTACCCAACTAATGACCGTTGACCTGAGTGGGACATTCAAAGACACGAAGCTCTGAAAGAGAGAACTCCTGAGTGGGAGAGGTCCGTGACAGGAGTGTCACTTTCAGCTGCTGAGGTTCATGTGGGGACACCCTCTCCTCTGCTTCCTGAGATAGGCCTCACACCTGGATAGCCACCACATTATGAGAGATCCTCAGGCTCAAACGGAGCCCTGAAACAACTCCTGGAAGCATCGTATCGGAACACCTAGAAAGAGAACCTCTTTTTTGGTTGGGGCTGCAGAGAATGGGTGACAAAGCTGGAGCTGCTTGCTGGCTGCCTTCTGACAGTCACTAAGAGAAAGGCTGTCTGAGACGAAGACAGCACAAAAGTAAGCAAAGCCAGGGGTGGAGACTACAGGGCTCGGTCCTCCTGGCAACAGCCGAGCCTCTGGACCCAGCCACACCTGGAGACACAGCCCTGAATATTTCAGTAAACTAAATTGCAAATGCACATTTGGCGTAGGCTATCTGGAGGTGTGTTTTATTCCTTGTAACTTACACAATCTTGGCTGATATATCTGCCGCTCATGTGGGACTGCTGGGAAGCCCTCATGGAAAACTATGTATGATGCACGGACCCTATTGTAATGAGAAAACTGAAAGGCTTCCGAGGGCTCTTAACAATGTTAGGATGGTGCTAATGGTAATATCAGGAGGAAGGGTGCCTTACCAGTACTCTTCCCCTCCAGCCATGCATTTTTCGTACACAGGTCCCTCTAGCTCCCGTGGGCTGGGGAAGATGGCTTCATGGTGGATGATGATGGTTTTGATGACTTCATTGACATGCGCCTGGCAGGATACAGGGTCCTGCCCATCAGGGATGTGCATGAGGGTGGGCCCGAAGCAGATGGCCAAGTTGTAGGGATCCATCATGTTCTCATCACTGTACTGGGAAAGGCTAGGAGAGAGCAGGTATCCACCATTCACCCAAAAGGCAAATCCTCCCCCTCTTTTGGTGGGGAAGGATGGACTCTACTCAAATGCAAGAAGGTTCTATAGTTCAATTTATGACAGTAGCATTCATGAGAGCCTTGGGACTCCCCTCCCAGAGGAGGCCAGTCACAGAGGGCTCCCCAGCCCAGGTACTCACTGATTGAGGAAAGCAAAGAGGTATCTCATGACCACGATGACCACACGGGGCAGGGTGATGAGGATCTGCTGGATTGGGTGCACCCTGTCAGCTGGGTTCTCCAGTTCTGTAAGGCACAGGGGGTTCGTGGTGCCTGTTACCCTGAGAGCAAGGCAACAGACATTTCCAGGCCCCACACCCCCCATCACTTCAGGGACTAGTCAACATGGCTCTACTCTCAGTTGAGATTTGAGTGAGAGCCAACCAGAACAAGTCAGGTTGGGTGTTAGCCTATTCAGAACCTCTAGTAGCTGGTCTGGAGGACTGTGGAGAAACCTGCCTGGAACTTGAGTAGCAGAAAAATCTGAAGCAGCCAGGGACTTCCAGGAAAGAGCATCCTGCCTGGGGATCAAAGTAGTGACACCAATCCCAGAGTGGACATGTGAAATCCAAAGCGGATGGGTCTAAAGTTTTCCAGTAGAGGAAATGACATAATTTGCTGTATGGACTCAGAGTTTAAGTTTCTGTCACTGGCAACCTTGGAGTTCTGATGACACAGGCAGGGATGGTGATTTAGTAAAGTGACAGGCACCAGCCACAGCATAGGCCTGGCCCACCTCAGTCACTCAGAAAAGAACAGTGCAAACATAGGCTCCTCTTGAGTGACCTACTGACTACTAGATGGCTTGGCACATGCCCATGATGTCATCTGGGATCCGTTCTCAGGTGAACCCTAGAGAGTCAAATGCTGGTATTATGGCCTGGAAAGACAGAGCAGTACCTATGGACTTGGCAACCTGGAACTACAAGAAGTGAGGTCCCGATGCGGTGCTCAGCGCCAACATGCCACATGTTGTCAGTGATGTTTTCCTCACAGAACCCCAGCTTCCCAAAGCCCTCATTCTTCTCAGCAGCCAACATGTCAGAGCTACAGACAGTCTTGCCTGCTTCATCTCCTGGCCACTGTCCTTCCCCAGAGTCTGAAGATTGTCTAGAGCTATGCTTCTCCATGAGGTGCTGTTGCCAAAGCTGGAGTTCTTGCTTCCTGACAAGGCATTGTGTGGGGGTGCATAGCAAATCGAAGTCCATTCTGGCATCAGAACCCACATGACCTGACTGTGGAGGGCACACAAATAGATGTCGCCTGCCTTAAATTTCAATCGATCCCTCTAACTCACCTTCAAGACCTGGCTAGAGGAAGCCTCACTCAAGTTAGACCACAATCAGTTTTTTATGAATAAATAAATTCCACTGCCCCTCTACAAATCCTCTGGGCCCTCCTTTCAGCCAGTCATCTATGGCAGGTAGCCCCTCTGTGCTATTAACTACATTGTAGTTCTTTTTTGTTTTTGTGTTTGTTTTTGTTTTTCGAGACAGGGTTTCTCTGTGGCTTTGGAGGCTGTCCTGGAACTAGCTCTTGTAGACCAGGCTGGTCTCAAACTCACAGAGATCCTCCTGCCTCTGCCTGCCGAGTGCTGGGACTAAAGGCATGTGCCACCACCGCCCAGCTACATTGTAGTTCTTAATGACATTTTTTAAAATGACATTTATTATGCATACAGCGTTCTGCCTGCATGCATGCCTGCAGCCAGAAGAGGGCACTAGATCTCATTGTAGATGGTTGAGAAACCACTATGTGATTGCTGGGAATTGAACTCAGGACATCTGGAAGAACAACCAGTGCTCTTAACCTCTGAGCCATCTCTCCAGCCCTTAAAAATTATTTTTTAAAAGAACTTATATTACTCTGTTAGAGAAAAAAGGAGAAACTATTGTTATAATGAGAAGGTAACATACAAATATGTAACAGTGGGGATATGTTGTAAGACATGCTGAAGGCAGGGACAATGTCAGATCCCATCTGTATCATATCCCTTTAGCATACATACCTTGGTAAATTTTGCTTCATGAAATAGACATGGGAAGATACTAACCATTAGTAATGAAAGATAACAGTCATAGCAGTACACCAAATAAAGGTCACTTAAAATTTAGGCATTATTTTTTAAATGGAGTGTGCTGGATGTCTCTACAATTTTGTTCAAATGACTGCAGAACCTGGAAAAGATGTTGCTGCTATTGATTTGAAACTTATTGCTATTATATATATATATATATATATATATATATATATATATCTTGAATTTTTGGAAACTTTAGCTGTGCAGTCAACTTTGGAAAAAAGTATCCCAGTTTACCGTGTTGAGTTGGCATTGTACAGAAATTAACAACCATATTGGTCTAGAAATGTTGAACTTAATTTTTTTCCATTTGTACAGGGGTAACGCACTGTATTAAATATGTAAGGTCTTATCTACATGGGTTTGATTACAAAAACTAATAAAGTATTCTCTAAATTAAAAAAAAGAAAAAAATTTAGGCATTATATCTGGGATTGCCTATTTAAAACCCCAAACTGCAGTCAACTGGGGGGGGGGAGGCAATGCAACTCTGGAAATCAAAAACACAGAGGGGGGCTGCTACTCAATAAACACAAGGGGTGCCACTAAATTACAGGTAGACTCTGTCTACAAAGGCTTCTGAAGATGAAGCTGGCCGTTGCATTTGGAAGGAGGCTGATGTGTGTAGGTTTCTCTGTAATAAACTCATAGTCCAGGACAGAACAGAAGAGGCCTTCTCACCATGTGACTCTGTCTGGACACTAGCATGACCCATGCTAGGATTGCCCTCCTTATCCATTCATTGCACTGCATAGGACCTGAATTATGGGGACTTGGTCTAATGATGCTGGCTAAGTCAGTGACATGAGGCCCAGACAGGATGGAGCCTTTGTGGTCTGGGATTTAGAGTTTGGCATAGATCTTAAAAGATGACCAGGAAGCAAACACTGAGGAAGCTGATGGACAATGAAAGAAAACATGAGAGCTTAAGCATGCCCTTTCTTCTGTCCTACTCCTGGGACACGTCCTGAATGCCAATATCCCCTCCAATGGTCAAGTACTCTCACGGCTAGCAGTGTAAAGATAATCTCCCAGTAGGTTAACTATCACTATTTCTCTTGTCTGCTGACCTGATCCCTAAACTCTCCATGGATTTCCTACCACTCAAGGGACAAAGCTGTGGGGTCCTTCAAAGACATTCAGATTACTTCTCTTGCTACATCACTGCATCAACCTCTTGCATCATGCACTGCTGACCCAAGTGGTCCACTGTCCCCAACCCTTCCAGGCTTCCCTGTGTCCCCTCCTCTTGGCAGGATTGCTCATGTCCCTCTCCCAGGTCTACTCTGACCCCAGGTTCCTTATGCTTCTCCTCTTAGCGCTGTTGTACCTAGGGAGTGCACCATGTCCACCTATACAACTGGGTCTTTAAGCTCTCTGAGGACCACACTTCTCTCATAGAATCCCTCTCCTGTGCCAGACAGGATGAAGACCCAAACCATCACCATCTACAAAGCCCCATGGAGCAATGGGTCTTCCACCTCGAAAATACTTACTAATAGTGGATATCAAATCTTGAAACCTTTCCTTAGGAAAGAGTGGGTTTTCCAGTCCTCGGAAATACAGTTTTAAAACACCAGCAACTGAATTGATATCTCGCTCGTTTTGGTCGTCCACGAGGGGGTCTTCACCTGTGTGGAGACAGTGTTTTACACTGGTGAGGAAAGAGAATCTCCGATATTAGAAGATACTCTGTTCTCAGATGGAATAGGAGACGACCTGGTCAGCCTGGATGGGAGAGAAAGAGGATGGGACGAGCCTGAGAGCCTGAGCCCCTCAGTCTCCGCATGTTTTAAATTTCCTATTAGAAAATGTTCAAATCCTCAGAAAAGGGGTAAGCATCCAATCATGCTTGTCCACCGCCCCTTACCTGCCCCTCTGCTGAGTCTTCTCTTTATTATATACACCGTGGCTCAAAGATTTGAGAACTTTTGACATCATAACACATTCTTCTCAAGAATCAGGAAATTCTCAGCTAACAATGATAACTTTATCTAACCCAAGAAAGAGATAATCCCTCCAAAAATAACTTCACTCACAGCCCACATGCAAACTCCACCCACTGTGTCTGCCATGGAATTTTGTTTTCAACATATACGAGCTATTTTGAGTTCCCACAATTCATTTGGAAGTTGACAGTTTTTCCGTTTGTTTGTTTGTTTGTTTGAGACATGGTCTCCGTGTATCCCTGGATGGGCTGGAACTTGGGACAATCCTGCTTCTGCTCCCAAATGCTGAGATTTCAGGCATGTGCTGGCATGCCTGGCTTGATAGCTGCCACTCTGGTTTTATAAGTATAAAAAAACTGCAATGTTTTGTTGAGTGCTAAGTTCGTGTTTGATGATGTAGTCCTTTCTGTCTTGTAGAAGACGGAATGGCCTCATATTCTGGCTTTCTCTCATTTTCCTCATGACTCAATTCAGGGTGACTACTTTGGGCAGGAATACAATGACACATATGCCACATGTGCCCTGCTCCTGGTGACACAGAACACTGGGTTAAGGTGGTAACCCTTTTTTCTTCTTTAAACACCACAACAGTATTTCCTTTTACGTTCTGTTTTGTTTTGAGACAAAACAAAACAGAACTCTGTGTAGCCCTAGCTGGCCTGGAACTAGCTCTGTAGACCAGGTTGGCCTCAAACTCACAGAGATCTGCCTGCCTCTGCCTCCTGAGTGTTAAGATTAAAGGTGTGCGCCACTACTGCCCAGCAGTATTTCCTTTTTGCAACAAACATGAGACCTGTGACATGAGATTAGAAGTCCTGGTACTTTAAGCCTGCCTATGAGTCCCTGTGGTCAGCATGACACATCCTGTGGAGTCAGTCTCCAGGGATAGCTCTTGCCTTGTTACACTAGGAGCTCACTGGTTCAGTTAGCCTGGCTGGCCTGTGAGCTCCGATAGCCACTTGTCTGGGTTCCCCAACACTGGGGTTTCAGAAACCTACTGCTGCTCCTGGCTTCTGCATGGATGCTGGGCATCTGAACTCAGGCCCTCATCCCCTCAGGCCCCAAAACCATATTTAAAGTTTCTCAGAGAGAATAGCCATTTTTACCCTTTCCTTCCCACCTTACGCATCACCATTTTCTTTAGGCTGACTTGTCTGCTGTGTTTCCTTCTACAGCAGATAAGCAAATACATGTACAGTCATCCCTACTCACAAGCTGCACATCCGTGGATTCAACAAAAGCTAATGAAAATATTTTAAAGAAAAGATTGCCTCTGAGGGCTAGGGAGATGGATGCCTGGGTGGATTGCTGCACAGCATGAGCTCCTGAGTTTGATCTGTAGACAGATGTGGTAGTGTGTATGATCCAGCATTGAGGAGGGGCAGATAGGAGAATCCCCACAGCTCATAGGCCAATTGCCAAGCTCCAGATTCAGTGAGGAGCTGGGTCTTAAACATGTAAGATGAAGAAGGAAGACACTTAATGTTGACTCCTGGCTTCCATAAGCTCGAGGGTGCCCGAGCACACACACGCATACCACACCACACTAAAGAGATTGCCTGCACTGAACCCATGCAAACTTTTTTTTTTTTTTGGTCTCTCTTCCCTAAAGAATGTAACAACCACTTATATGGTGTTTCCATTGTTGAGCATTGTGAGTCATCTACAGAGGTGGTTGTGCCTGCTGTGTGTGGGTCAATAGAAATGCTACATTTCAGAAAGAAACCAACTTGAGCACTGTTGGTTTTCTACCTTCTAGCGTGCTTCTTGAGCCAGCACTCTAAAGATGGGAGCAGTTGTCTATGTTCTTTACTGACCCTTACTTCTTACACAGAATGGCATTCACTCCTACATAAACTTGTTCCTTAGCTTCAACAACAAATCCTGGAAATCTCTCCACGTTACTTCCCAGAACTCTTCTCTCTTTCTCATGGTGGTGAAGAACCGTGTCACACAGGGAGACCACGCTTCACTCACTTGGCCTCTTACAGGTCTACACTGAACTTAATTTTTAAAGTACAATTGTTTATTTAGTTATTCGTATGTCTATAACAAGGCACACACCTGGAGGGCAGAGGACACCTTGCAGAAGTCGATTCTCTCTACCATAAGGGACCCAGGAATCAAACTTAGAAACAAGTGCCTTTCTCTATTGAGCTGTATCACCAGCCTACATCTGACTTCTTTCAGTCTCTTGCTGTGATAAACACTGCCATGGTGAATGCCCTGCATGTGTGTGTTTGTATTTGTGGAGGCAGGTCTCCTTTATGTTCCTGGAAGTGGGCACATGGGGTCATCTTGGGTGTGGTTTCTCTCCTATACTCAAACCCCTCTCTCTTTGGGGGGGGTCACATTTTTGTACTCCTGCTAGTGACATCCTCCTGAGAAGGCGGTCTTCTCCAGCTCTGCCCATGGCATACTGCCAGTCTTTTGAATTTTGTTAGTTGGATGGGGAAATAGGGCATTTCAGAGGAGTGGCTGTCTGCAGTGGAACTGAGGCTGCTAAGCTGGTAATAACCGGGAATTTTCCTGGGAGAGGTGAAAGGAAGAAGAGAGTAATCTAACGCCTTGCTGAAGGCGTTGAGGGAAGGTTGCACTAATAGCCAGAACACCTGTGTGTGTCTGGCAAGCAATGAACAGATCTAGATACCCAGATTGGATCTCTTTTCTCTGCTTTCAGAGGAAGTGGATGTGTGTCATTGGCCGTCTTTCTAGTCGCAATGTGTTTGAGTGCCAACCAGAGAAAGTCGTCTTCCATTCCGTACTGGGGCTTGCAGCTTACAGAGCATGAGCCAGAGGACATCTCCCACCTGCCTCCTTAGCTGGCCATGTGCCCAGCCAGAACAACTGTATGTGGCAGCCCAGACACTGGTGTTCCCTAGGTTAACCTCTCAGATGTCCCCACCAAGGAGGTGAGAATGTTTCTCCCATAATACTTTCTTGTGAGAAAAGAAGAAAGAACAAATTTAAAATAATTGCTTGGTTAACATGTTAACTTTCTATATGTGTACATACACAGACATAAACACATAATGCATACACACAAACACATATCACCATAATCATCAGTCATCATCATCATCATCGTCAGTTCTTGCCCATCTTCCAGAAGGTACTCAGACTCTGAATGGCATTACCCCGATGTTCTCTGACATGAGTCCAGGCCTCTGGTCTTCTGCAAGACCAGTCTATCTGAGCCCAAGAATGACAATTCAAAGTTGAAGAACATGTAGATGGCTTTATCTAGCAGGATCATGAGAGCTAATGTTCCAGGTAAGCCTGATGGAAAGCTAAGTCCCACTAATGAATCCTATAGGACCAAACTACAGTGCAGTGTGTCTTCCCAAAGAACAAGGCAGCTGGGAGAGGGAGAATTACTTTGGAATGATGAGAGGCAGAGAAGAACCAACTGCAAATATGGAAGAAGAAAATGGGGATTTTTTTGCCTTTCTCTTTCTTTCCTTCCTTTCCTCTTTTCTTTCTTCGTTCTTCCTTCCAAGGGAGGCTGCACTCAGTCAATCATGTATGGCCATCTTGTCCTTACCACCTCTGGGTTATATATCCTTGATTAATTAAGGTGGGAATTTGGAAGGGGACAGGAAAATATATGCTTGATTCCTTCCATTGTATAAGTTGCCAAAAACAAAACCCAAACCAAACAAAACAAAAAAAAACCCAGTGCATTGGAAAATCCAAGAATTGGGCTATTCTAGAAGCCACTCTTCATCTTCCAACTTTCCTAAGAAGTAGTTTCCTTTATACATAGAAACACGACAAACTTCTTTCCAGGTTCTTCCTCCCAGACACCACTGCAACGTCCACTGGAGAGTCACCAGTAAGCAATGTAATGTCCACAGGTTGTCAACTTGGCACAGTCAGAGTTATACGGGAAGAGGAACCTCAACTGAGAAAATGCCTCCATACGACTGACCTTAACTAGTGATTAATGTGGGAAGGCCCAGCACATTGTAGGTGATGCTACCCCTGGTAGGTGGTCCTGGGCTGGATAAGAAAGCAGGCTGAGCAAGGAGGACTCAGCAGGAGGCCTCCATGGCCTCTTCTTCAGTTCTACCTCCAGGTGCCTGCTTTGAGTTCCTGCCCTGATTTCTCCCCGTGATGGAGTGTGACCTGAGAGCTGTAAGCTGAAATAAACCCTTTCCTCCTCAAGTTGGTTTTGGGCATAGTGTTTTATCACAGCAATAAAAATCCTATCTAAGACAACAGGGTGTGGGAGGTCCAGGGTGGTAGCTCATGATAACCTGGGCTACCTGAGACTCTATCTCAAAACATAATGAAAAACAGACTGGGGAGATGACCTAGTTGATAAAGTTCTTGCCATATATAAGGACTTGAGTTTGATCCCCTAAATCCCTCTGTGTAAAAACTAAAGTCAAAAAAGTACAAAAATACAAACAAAACAAAACAAAAACCAAAAATCTGTCAGGCACAGTGGTGTGCCCTTGAAATGCCAGTGCTGAGGAGGTAAGGGCAGTCAGGTCCCTGGGGCTTGCTGGCCAGCCATCCTATCCTAGTTGATGAGCTCTAGGCCAGTGAGAGATACCTTGACTCAAAAAACACGGTGGCAAGCCAGGCATTGGTGGCGCACGCCTTTAATCCCGGCACTTGGGAGGCAGAGGCAGGTGGATCTCTGTGAGTTTGAGACCAGCCTTGTCTACAAGAGCTAGTTCCAGGACAGCCTCCAAAGCCACAGAGAAACCCTGTCTCGAAAAACAAAAACAAAAAACAAAAAACAAACAAACAAACAAACAAAAACATGGTGGCAGCACCTGTGGGATGACACCTCTGACCTACACAAGCAGTATGCCTTCCCATTCAAACACCACACACCCACCCCCACCCCCCCACACACACACACACTCACACACACACACACACACACATTCACAAGTGCATATATATACCTGCACATACACGTATACTCACACAATCACGTAAACACACACAGTACATGGAAAGTCAGGCATGATAACTCACACCTGTAATCTCAGCAGTTGGAAAGTAGAGACGGGAGTATCAGCAAGAGTTAAAGGCTAGTCTAGACACTATCTCAAAAATAAAATAAAATAAAGCAATAAAAACTATCAAACACTAAAATGGGTGGGGCCAGAAGCTTTGGAATTTTAGAATCTTGGTGTCTTGGGGTAAATTCAAATATCTAAATAAAAATTCACAGGAGTTGCACATACAGTCTGATGATGATCTGACAAGGTATCGTTTGTGTAGCTGCATCTGTCCCATGAAGTGTGGAGCTTTCCACTAGTGTGTTACTTCAACACTCAAATGTTTGAATGTAGAACATGGGATTAGGAATGCTCAGCATGCAATAAAAGGGAAAGGGAGAAGAGCTGGATGCTTAGAGGAAAACTATTAAAAAAAAGATCTTGGGGTTTGCCAATTTCTGTGGTGTAAACACTCCCAATATGGTTGATTTCCAGCTACCTTCACTATGTCATGGAATACAAAGTTAAGAAGAGTATGAGCATACAGCTTTTGAAAGCCACTGGGCCAAGGGCCCCTGTGAAGTACTGGTTCTGAGACCTGTGCTAGCCCTGGCTTTTCCTTTCCACAAGCTTGAGATGGTCAGTCCACACTCACCTCTCTCAAAGGAATTCTTGATGTCATTGACTTCAACCTGAGACCCTGGAACTCTGAATATCCCCTGCTGCTGGAGTCCTAAAAAAGAAATAACAAACAAGCAAACAGCAAATGTAAATAACACGAGCCTAGAGTTCATCTGGCTATTGGAATTATTGGTGATTCTCTCCCATGCTTACTTCTTCCTCCTTCCATCTCTTATAGTAGCCATTCTTGGTGACAAGCTCCTAGCTGAAACCCCAAACAGGCCTTGACAAGGAACTACAGCTGGACCAAATACTCAAGACACATGCAGAGTCTTGTGTCTGTGAACTTGCTCCTGGGTCTAAAGGAAGATGCTATCAATTTTTCCTTCCCTCTCTCACTTGGGTAACTTCTTGCCTTAAGAAAACCTAAACTTCTGAGTACATCCTGACCTCATTGGGGAAGTCAGAGAATTCGAGGCATATCTCAGTGGCATAGTGCTTTGTCTTGTGGACACTGGGCCCTGGGTTAGGTTCCCAGCACCACAAATTATTAAATACAATAAATTGGTTAGCTGGGCAGACTTGCTCATATTATAATCCCAGTATTTTCAAGGCTGAAATTGAGGCAGGAGGATTTTGCCGAGTTCAAGGACAGCCTGGGCTACAGATGAAAGAGCATGGACTCAATAGAGCCACACTGCCCAAAAACAAAACAAAAAACAACAAAACAAAAAACAAACAAAAAAAACTGAGTTTCTATGAGACAATAGCAAAGTGGAACCCTTGACACCTGGTAGCTCTGAGGATCTAACAGTGATTCACACAATTGCAGGAATCAGAGGGTCTGCCTCTTTCAAATGAAAATTACTATAGACACTGGATGCCTTTCCCTGTCTCAGTTGTTTTGGGTGGAACAATTCTTCATGCTACAATTTATTGTTTCCCCTTAAAAGTAAGGGTTTAGACCAAAAAATAAAATCCACCAAACAAACAAACAAAAAAAGTAAGGGTTTAGTGGACATTTTACTTTTTAAAATGGACATGCTATGTGCTTTGGTTGTTTTCGTTTGTTTTGTTTTGTTTTGTTTTGTTTTGTTTTTTACTTATTTAAGCCTTTTCCACTGAGGCCAGCCACTAGATGGCCAGGGGCTGACACAACATCTTCTAAAGCATCTTCATGTGTCATGTTCACTGTTAAACAAGGTATGCACTTGCATTTTTAAGTTGTGACATGAGTTCCCAGGCTGACCTCGAACTTACTAGGTAGCCCAGGTCAGCCTCCAATTCTTGGTGACAGGCATATACAGTCATGAGTGTAGCTTGTTTAGAATTTCTACCACCCCTCAGTCTTCTCCCACTCTTCTGGGCCATTATCCCTAACCACCACACTGCCATTCCTTCCACCTACCATTCCCCATTCTCCCCACCCCAGTTGCACGGCTGCTTTCCTTGGGGCTCTTCTCCCTCTTTAGTCAAGCAGCGACCCCAGAGCCAATATCTATCCTTCTTTTAATTAGTTTCATGGCAGTGCCACTCTGAGAAATTATATTACAGTCTACTCTATAGTGACTCAACTAACAGTTACATCTGTACCAGGCATGTATAGATTAATGTTTTACTAGTCCCTAAACAATATGATTATTTCTGTAGCATTTACATAGGATGTGGTCCTATCTGTCTCTCTAGGTGGATTACTGTCTATGGGAAGATTACATGCATGATGTGTAAAAGCCACAGCATTTACACAATGGATCTTAGAGTCCGCTGATCTGGAGTTCTGTAGTGGCCCTAGATCTAATCCCTAGAGATGCTAACGGGTGACGACAATTCTTTCCCTGCTGTTGACTTCCTTGTTCTGAGAATGTTGGCCCTGCAGGAATCATATGGTGCTTGCCTCTATTACTCCTGCATTCCTCACAGCCAAAAGGGAGCCTGTTTTTAGGTGACGGAGTAGTTATACACTTCTGATAACAGCATGGTTAACAAATTCCCGACACCATTCCCCTCATGGAGCTTACAGCCTATCAACCCAATTGACTCTGAGTGAAGACAGAGCTGGAATAGCCCTTCTGTCCATGCTATAGCTGCTCCTCTATGACCTGAAGTGTCCCTCACACAACCTTCCTTCTCTCACCCCAGACACAGATATGCAGAGTCCATGTCTTAGTTCTGAGTAACAGCCATTCCCTGGAGCAGAGCAAGGACAGTATGATGACTTCCAAGATGACTGAGAATATCATTTTCTCCCACAAAAGTCCAGCACCTATTCCACAGTGAGCTGAACACACTGAGCTGTGATGGTGCTTACCGTATAAATTGATGAAGCGGATACAACTCTCCACTACAAGTGGTATAGCTTGTCCTGAATCCTTAAGAAAGAAAACAATGTGAGTTTTATCAGGCATCCAACCATAGGCAAAAGACATCGCAAGCATGATGACCAAGTCAAGCCAGAAGATTAGTACCATGTGATTAGTAGGAAAACAAGCAAGGAACTGCTAACTCTAGTCTCCAGGAATAGTTACCATACAGCCTTCGGTTAAGGGCAGAAGAAGGCATAGCTAGGATAAATTCAAAGAAATGCTCTCTCTTCTTACCCAGCTGGCAAGGAAATGGGCTCAGCTCGATAGGCATACTGGGGGCAGGAAAGGTGGAAGCCAGTGTGTGGAGGTGGCTGGAGTCTGACCTTCAAGGATGACCTGCCTTCTCCCAACTCTGCTTTGCCCAAACTCAGCATCTTTCCCCAGGGCTTGGGGACGAAGAGGCGTGAACAATGAATGCCTCTCCCTATTACTGAGGTGTCTCATGTCAGAACTGAGACCACATTGTGGGTGAAGGAGGTCTGGCCCTTACAAGCCCTGTGAGGTTCTAAGAAGGGAAGGAATCTCAGTCATAACGTTTCAACGTAAATATTCAGATAAATATTTTGCTTAACAGTAAGCATGGCACATGGGGACATTCTGAAAGGTGTTAATATCAGACATTGGCTATCTGTTGGCTGGTCTCAATTTAAAAAGGTGGAATAGGATGTAATTTAAATAGTTGTACCTAGGATGTGAAAGGACATTCAATTACACCTTTCTAGATTAGTCTACAGTTCCTAGTGGTTGGGCAAGGGTCGATTTTCTTTCAGGGTTCTGAAACTGGATGACCTGTTGTTACTTCAGGTCATGGCATTTACAAGACAAAACTTTCCCTTTAAAGGGCCATATTAAACTACTAGCCTCCCCAGAAGGCTAGTAACTTGGTGGGCTCTTGGCTTTGCCACACCCCCCATCTGCTGATGCTACATCTGGGGAGAGGATAGGAGACAGGCCCACCAAGCAACAGGGAAAGTGGACCCTGCTCTAAAAGGCATTGGATTTACTAGTTGCATGGGGCTTTGGGGCCTAGCTAGTAAATACCTGGTTCCTGGTTCGAGCATTTCTTCTTCCTCTGATAACAAAAAAAGAAACAGGCAGCAAAGCAGGAGAAAAAGAAAAGATTATGCAGGAGTAAGATCAGTTAGAGTATGCAGATCCTTCAGAGTCCGTGAATGCCAAAACGCAATGGCAGCCAGCAATGGTCCTGGGGCATTTGCCCAATAGCCTGCCCACGGGGAGGGGCCTCAGCCTTGGGGCCTCCTAGGACTTCTGGAGCTGTCCCCAGCCAGCCTTCCAATAGGCTGCCTAGCCTCTTTCCCAGATATCAGTGATGGAAGGGCCTCTTTCATTGCTTGTCAATATGTAGGAAACGGGTGTCAACATCATTCCTGGATCCATGTCTAGTTGCTCTTCAACACCAGTGATTCACCAGTGAGCAAGAGTCCACTGAAGACCTACAAGGTTAGCCCATCTGCTCACAGAAGGGATCCTTCGTGTCTATTGCAAGCTGCTCCTAGAATTCATCCCTGGAATCCTCATTGTAGGACATATGCTCTACTTCACAAGATCTCCTTAGACAGGATCCAGCAGGTTGTACCAGATTCCAGACTCTAAACACACCCAACACCGTGATAGCCTTCTCTGTGTGGAGTGTGGCTCTGCTCCCCTTCCCAACCTCTTACTGTCACCCTGGCACTGAGACCCTCTAAGAACACAGAAGCTGGGAAGGATGAAGATGAGGGAAAGAATAAGTTGGAACACCTTTGTGACCTTGAGGGTGCACTGAAGCCTTTGTCCCCATGTTGAGAGAGCCTGCCTGATTTTCTGATCATGTGGGCGGTGATTCAAGAGTCTAAGTGGGAACTGAGTCTCACTCTCACCCAAGTTCTCAAGCTGACTAAGGGACAATGGGCCTTCCCAGGGTACAATTACATCTTACAGTTGGGATCTGAGTTGCTATGATGTCAGCTAAGCCCACATGAATTCTAAAACTCAGTAATAGCCTGGTCTAAGGGACACTTGAGATGGTGTCCTAAAATTAATAATCGACCAGGCTTAAACAGTGCCAGGAGTATTCTAGAAACATACATGGAGCAGCCCATTCTAAGCTCTCCTAAACTCGCAGGGCAAAAGATTGCTCTCATTTTATATAATATAAATGGAGTCTCCTTAAGTCTAAGAGGGGAAAAACACCAAGTTTTTGGTTTTTTTTTTTTTTGTTGTTGTTGTTGTTGTTGTTGTTGTTGTTGTTGTTTTAATAAGAGGTTGGCTCAGGAAGAGTCAGGGAGGTTCCTAAGTCTGACTCCACAAAAACTTCTTTATAATTAACTTGGAGCTTCTCTCTTTGTCCTTGCTGAGGCATCATAATCACAGCAACACAGTGGGATTGTTTGACCAAAAATCCCTCCCTAGGCCTGGATTTTCAAAGCTGAGGACTCTGTTGTACATTCAGACAGTGTGAGAATTGGAATCGAAACTTCAGTTCTACTCTTGGCAGTTGAAGGAATAACTACAGCTGCTGTCTTTCACTCTCTGGACTCTGGAATCTTTAGAGTAAGTCTGTGTCATATGGAACTTTGTGGGTCTGCTCATAGCAGGTCCACAGCTGAAGGTGTTGAACTTCACTGATTGGAGGTAGCCTAAGTGCAGAGGGAGTATAAAGACATGCTGCTGTGTTCCACAACCCATCTTCTCTTCCCTAGCCAAATGGCTATTGATCCTCCAAAGTATTCTGACATTCACTCCAACAGAGCTGGGTCATCCCTTTGGAGATCTTTCTCTGGGCCAGTTGACCAGGGTCACTGTACCATACTTCTTGCCATTTCATACCTCCAGTGGTACCACAAAGCTGAGCTTCAACTGAAGCTTGTGTGACATAGTGATAGTGGTGTTCGTGTGTGTGTGTGTGTGTGTGTGTGTGTGTGTGTGTGTGTGTGTGTGTGTATGCGCGCACGCGCGCGTGCGTGCGCGCACATGCACACATGTGCATTGCACACACGGCCAAAGCTCAACCTTGCATGTCATTCCTCGGGTACCAGTCACCTTCGGTTTGAACTCTCCAATTAAGCTAGGCTTTCTGGGCAGGGAACCACTGGCATCTATCTGATTCCCTCAGTGCTAGGATTCCAAGTGTGTGTGACACCATTCCCAGCTTTTTAACATAAGTCATAGAGACTGAACTCATGTCCTCATGCTTGCATGACATGCCTTGTAATTACCATGTCATCACCTCACCCCTGTGGAGGTTTTAAGTCTGGTGGACCAAAGTATCCATTCTAACAGGAAGTTTTGGCACCAAAAATGATAAAGGCTATGTAACAGGGTGTAAAGATTAGTCAAAACACCATTGGGGGCATGGTGATGTAGTAGAATAGTAAGATGGCTTCCCAAAGTAACTACCTGATGAGGCAAACCAACACTCATGGAGTTGAACAAGGTCTAAAGTGTTTACCAGGTGCACAGTCAAGTTGCTTTCCAGTCACACTAGGAAGATACTCAGTTCCACTGAAGATATGACTTTCAAAGTGTCAAATGAGAGTCAGTTCCTTCCATGTATACTAATGGATCTCCCATTTCCCAAGATCAGAGAGACTCAGGGGAGGAGTCCCCATCTCAGATCTCACTGCATCTTTCCCTCTTTCGGGGACTTCTGTCCTGCTCCTCTTATTCCTCCCCATCCTTCCAAGCCCCTGGCAAGGCCACCTGGGCCCCAGCTCACAGCTCTCCTTGATCTGAATTGCAACAGCATGTTCCTGTAGGACTTCCCATGGGCCCCTCCCTCCCCTCCTTTGCAGCCTGGAGAGTGGCTCATCCGGAAGCAAGGGTGAGTGAGAAAGAAGTACAGGAGAAGACAGAGGGGTGATGAAGAAACAAAGCACTCTTTTGACCCACTACCCTGCCTGCCATGACACACTGAGTGGCTCCCAATGATTAACATAGTTCCTGAGGGCACCTCTGATTTGGGGCCTTCGGTCCTATGAAGCATCCCAAAGGCATCCCACACTGTCCTTGTTCTGGGAAAATCCCTCTTTCTCTTTCTCTAGCTCTTTTGTTCTGTTCTGAGGACTTAGTCTATAGAGGTGGTCCTTTGACCTAGGATGGTCCTGACTACTTGATCTATCCCTGAGGCTGACCGTCTGCATATCTGAAACCCTTCTCTGTCCTCCAGGTCTGGCAGCACCCTGCCAGAGGATAGAGAGCTGGTGTATGGGACAGCCCCTGTAACTCTAAAATCATTACTGATACCACAAGACTCTACCCTTCCCATGACCTACACCAGTCCTCTTTTCTGCAGGTATTACCTTCATTGGCTGCTGGTGGGCTTTCAAATAACTGCTGAAGACCTCTCCTTGTCTTTCCCCAAGAACACATCTTAACTCTAACACCATCTTTGCCTTGCTCGGTTTGATTCTGGATGCCTTGATCTTATACACACTGGAGGTGGGGACAGGAAAAATAAACTCACGTAGCTAAAACACTTAAATTTTTAACTTAAGCTCAATGTCAAGGGTTAACCTGACATTTAGAAGGACTGCCTCAATCTTACTCCACATTTCAAGTCAACCACCAAAAGCCAAATTAAGGGGAAGGAACTCTTCTTATGAAAACTCTATGGCTTCCCATGCTAGTGGATACTTAGCTAACAAAGTGTAGTTGCCTTGTATAGAAACCCATAGGGGCTATCTTTGTGCTGTACTCAGTCTCCTATTGCAGGAGAAGGGGGTGAAGCTGAGTAATGGGGTTTCCTCAACTGCCCTTCAGGTGTTAGGACTGCAGCTCCTGCATCAAGGAGGTCAGCTGGCTGAGACCACTGTGCTGAAGGGCCACCTCTTTTCTGCTTGAGTGATCAGACCCCTCCCCATATGGCTAAGAACGATGAGTGGCCACTTAGGTGCCACTAGTCAGAAGCAGAATTCTCCATTGGAATGCTTCACTGAAGCCAAGAACAGACCGCAGTGAGAAGCTAGCTCTGTGGGACCTGGCTAAGGGGTTGACAGGGCTATTAGCTGGAAGGGACAGGGAGAAGAGAGGCTGCCATTACTTTGGACTCATTCGCGGACTCCACGGCTCCCCAGCAAGTACCTTAATGAACGCTTCCATACTGCCGTTAAAGAGTTTATGGCTATACACTGAAAGAGGCCTAGGTCTCCTCATTTTCTGTGGTTTAGGGGGAAGACAGGGGGGCCTAGGGGAAAATGGAACAAAAGAAATCAAGAAAGCAACCAACATAAACATACCACTGGGAGAGATACTCTTCAAACCCACAACTGGAGGAAAATACAAAACACAGTGGGGAGCCTCTGGCCCCAACACACTGGTTTCCCATGTTCCATCTGAAGGCCTCTGGATGTTTTAGATCTTAGTTTACCCACAATGCCAAGCAGGAGCAACTCTCACAAAACACAAATGCATTCTACATTATGGGGGATGGGATGAATCCAAGAAGCCCCTGCAATGCCAATCAGAGGTTGGCATCCTGCAGACCAGATGGAGGGGGGTCAGCGGAGGGAGGTGTCATCTGTAGCCCAAGAAAGCAAGAGACTTTCAAACATAACCAAGAGGGTTATTTTTCATATTTTTGGCTTAAATCTATCACCAATACCCAACTCCCAATGTACTAGGGGCACTGTCTTCCTAATGCCTCTTGGCATTTCAAAGACATATGACTCATGTTTATTGCATAGATCTGTGAGCCAGACAGCTAGATACCAGGAGGCAAGCTGCAGCTTCTTTAGGATCTGTGGGTGGTCTGGGATGTTATTATCCCACTCATCAATCAAGTACATTTTTTATTCCATTATTACACTTAACCCAGTATCTTCCCATTACACATGGTTCTATTTTACAGAAACTAAAGCCCAGAGAGATTATCAGTCAGACCTACCTCTATTCCCCTTCCTCTCTAAGTCCAGGTTTTTGTTGTTTTTTTGAGGGGGTTGTTTTGTTTTGTTTTTTAATTTCAAGTTATAGGCATGGCACTGGGACATCTTGTCATTTTAAACTGCAGACTCATTTGCCCCATCAGTCCTTGTCACAGAAGTCAAGTTGAAAGTGTCTTGCTTTGCTTTCAGATCTCCAGTCCCTGTGTTCTGTTGTTATCCACAGGGAGGGGAAACCTTATACCACAGTCCACCAGGTAAAATGAAATGGCCACAGACACTAGACCCGTGTCCATAGTTGCTCGCCATGCATAAGCCTGGGTTGGCTTATTTGCTCATTTCACTACATACACTGGCCTGATTCAATGCTGCTGGCCTTTAAGGAAAAGTTAGGAGGAAGCACCCTTACCAAACAAGGCAGTTCACTCTCAAATGGTTTGATTCAAACTTTGGGAGCAACAAGTACATACTCAGCCAGGCAGATAATGGTTATACGTGAGAAGCAAAGACTTGTCCCTTCCCCAAGTCTTGATTGATTTCTGTATATGGGCAAGAAACTTGTTTGTTTGTTTCTGAGACAGGGTCTCATGTAGTCCAGGGTGGCTTCTAACTTGTTATGTAGCCAAGTTTGACCTCATACTCCTGATCCTCCTGCCACGTGCTGGCATGCACCTCCACACTGGGTTTTATGTGGTGCTAGCAATTGAACTCAGGGCCTCATGCACGCTAAGCAAGCATTCTATCAACTAATGTACATCCCCAGCCCACAGGCAAGAATCATATGGGCTGTGGAACCAATCAAGATGAATGCGGGTTGCCCTGCCTCTCTCCCATGGTTTACTGTACTCATGTCCTTTAGCAGTCCAGCCATGCAGGACACTTTAGCCAAGTCCTCCTGGATGTTTAAGTGTTGAGCAAAGGCTGCAAACTCCAGGGCATGCATGGGCAAAGACACAGTTGAGTCCAAATAGCATGCCATCCAATCAAGAAAAAAAAAACAAAAAAACAAAAAAAAAAAAAACAGCACAACCAAAATTTTGAAGAGAAACAACAAGCAAGATTATCACCAGCCCATTTTGGAGCTGTGTGAATTTGGTTAGCTAAGTCCATGTCATTTCCTTTAAAAATATATTACATCTTTTTTGAGGATGTGTGAAAACGGAGGGGGAAATCTCATACAGTGGATCTGCTTTTGAGTTTTCAAATGCAAAAGCCAAAAAATAAATTGTAAAAAATGTGACACAAAGCCATAGGATGCAAATTTAGGGATTAAGGATAAGGAGGATAGCAATGCCACCATTTGTTTTGTAGTATTTTGGACTCCATGACCACTTTTTTTTTTTTTTTTTAATCTCACATTACATAGTCTCCTCATGAGCCTGGGAGGCAAAGGAGCCCACAAGAGATTGAGAAATTTGCCCAAGGCCACACAAATGGAATCCATCAGGAACTGGGAGTTGAATGCAGTTCCCCCTATTAGAGGCTCCAGCACAAGTACAAAGGTGAGAGAGTGATCTTGTGGCCGGCCAGAGTGGGGATCTTGGCACAGGTGCTAAAGATACAGAATCAAAGTTCTAGGGCACCCAGTTGGGAAGAACTCATAAGGGTTTCTGGGTTTTGTTTTTTTTAATTTTTCGCAGAGTAAAATAAAAGGAAAAAGGCATAGAGTACGCTTCCCCATTTTCCCTGCCAAATCCAGAGTGTAAAAGAAAATGAAGTCACAATGGCAGTCCTTATGTCCCCCGTGGTGCACCGGGAACTGCCTGGAGTCTCTGACAAGGAAACATAGCTATCCCAACTTTGAACGACATCAAATCTGTATCAACTTACGGGAATGCTGGGTGGGGCACAAAGTGGGGAGCAGGGGGACAGCTCAGCCAAGGAAAGTGGGGCAGCCTAAGCCGTCCATCTCTTCTGCCGCTCAGATGCAGAGCAAAAAAAAAAAAAAAAAAAAAAAAAAGAAAAAAGAGAGAGAAGCCGGGAAGACAGGAACAGAGAAAGCCACAGAGGGGAGGGAGAGGAAGCCAGAGACCAATGTCCCCTTTCTGCCTTTCAGCTAAGATGAAAATTAGCATATGCTGGCAACACAGGCGTGGCCTGAGCATCAGTCTGTGACCAAGAGCAAGTGATTAAGAATTTCCCTAAACATCCCAACAGATGTGGGTGCCACACTGATGTTCAAGGGCAGGTGGGCTCTTGGAAGCTGGGGCCAGATATGCCCTGAGCTGCATCTGATTGGTCATGGCATCAACTAGTTCCCCTCTAACCAGGACTAGAGCCTCTTGTCAACCTGATTAAGGAGGCTGACCCCTCTTCAAATCACAACGATTAACAACTAGTGCTTACACCCACTTTACCATTTTTATCAATTCTTCAAAACACATTAGCACATCTGGTCAGCCTAGGTCCCAGCGCTATGTGATCTGAGGCCGTTCAAAAGTACGGTGCTTAAATGTGAGAAAAGGGCCATTTGGACAAGGGCAAGAGCAACGTGGCTGAGGGAGTCTGCTCTGATGATGGTCCCAAATGACTTGACTGTGTGTGAGAATCTACAGTTGGCACAGCCAAGATGCGGAGACACCACCCAGGTCTGAAATTTAGGACAGGATGCCTAAGTGGGAGGTCTAGCAACCTGAACTTGGATTTTCCAGACCCTAGGCCAAAGCAGGTGAGGAAGACAGTATTTCAGAGGTGTTTACTTTAAAAGAGGGGGGGCAGTGAGCCATGGCCCAATTCTTCTCACTTTGGTGTAAAACAGGGCTTCTGTCCTCTTTGGACTATAGTAACATTCTCCTACCAGAAAAAAAAAGTAAGAAATTCAAGTTCTTCAAAGGTGACCTGCACATCTGCCATTCCACGTGTGGGAGAGTCCTTGCCTGTGAGTCATCTTGAGTTCCCAAACTGCCTGGGCCCAGATGGACTCTGGATTCCTGGAAAGCCCTACAGCTCCAGATCCAACATATTAAAATCCACAGCTTCCCAAGCCATTGCCACGCCTACTCACTTCCCTAAGAGCAGGGGAGAGTTAAAGGGTCATCTTCGCTCTTGCCAAGTAGGACAGCTTTTCAGGATTCTGAGCCATTGGGAAGAATCAGTTTGGAAGGAAAGAATGTCACTGGGTCACTGAGCCCCACTGAGTGAGGTAAAAAAGTAGCTCCAAACTAAAAAGTAGCCATACATGATAAAGGACAGACCTCTGGGCCACTGCTAGACTCGTGGTGAAAACTCAGACACCAGGGCAATGCTGGCTGCTTAGGCATCTAAAGCCTATGGAAGGCTGAAAGCTGCTGAGTGAAAGTGTTCACTGGCTCTGGTGTGCTCAGAGGAAGCACAAAGGGAGATGCAGGAGGAGCTAGAAGGAAGCATGAGTTGCCTATATGACTAGCCTTGACAGTCCATCCAAGTTTCCACTGAACATCAAGCCAAAGTATGATGGGCAGTGCACGGGGGTGGGGGGGGTGGGAGATCTGGGCACATGTCCAGCCTGATGCAGCATGCACCTGGCCATCTGTGCACAATGTCAGCCAACCCCAAAGCCTTAACAACTGAGGGGCCAGGCTGGACCTGGATCACCTAGAGGGCAGTTTGGGCAGTGGCCATGTAACAGGTTCAAGAGAAGAAAACAACCGTCCTACAGCCTGCGGCCTCTGCTAGGGCCTTTAGCCACCCTGGAATCAACTACCCTCCCACTGAACAGGACATGTCCCACTGCCCTGAAGCAGCCATGAAAACTCCCTCCCTGTGGCCAGCCTGCTGGAGCGTGGCTTCACCAGTCTAAAGCATAAACAAGCAAGGCCACCTCAATAGCCACTGTGCCCTCCCCAATCACCCCAAAGCCCCCAGAGGTGGTGAAAACTATCCAGCTTCTCCAGTTCCCAGGAGACTACCTTCATCCTACACATCCACCCACCCACCACATCCTCTCAGACCTCAGGCAGCCAGTACAAGGACACAAGATTCTCCAACTCTCACCTGGTTGTGCCGCACTCTGCTCTCTCCCCTGGGGAAAGAAAACAAAATTGCATGTTGATGTTTAGTTGGCTTTGGCTTTTGTCTTAACCAGAGAACTTTCTTTCCCGTAAAACAACAATATCAGAAAGACCTGATATGCTCATCTACAATTGTTCTTTATTCCTGCCTCCTTCCCTGTCTCTGCAGATTTGATAAGCATTTCCTAAAAAGAGAATCACTCTCCTTGTGGTTTCTCACCTCAGTCTGGCTTCTTTAGCTTAGCATAATTTGTCTGCAGTTCTTCCATAGATTATGATTCAGTAGTTTGTTTATTTTTATGGTTGAATAATATTCCATTGTTTCCTTACCCACTTGTCAATAACTACCTGTTGTATAACAGAAGCATTCTAACCTTCAGGGAAACTCCTTCACCAGGAAGGTAAACAACTCTAAGTAGCTTCAGGAAGTCCCTGAAACTGAGCAGATTCACTAGACCCCACCCCACCAGAGTAAATATAAAAGCTGAGAATCCCTCTTAGACTGGAAGCCAACCTACAAAGAAGACTTTTGAGACCATACCAGCTGCCTTGAAGAAGCAGAAACCAGCAGAGATCCCTGGAAGAGGTTTAGAGCAAATGAGATACCTGGAAAGGACACTCTAACTTATTGAACAGCCTGAAGGCTGTACACTATGTTCTCAGTTCCCAGCTTTGTGACCTGTTACCCAAGCTGGGGTAGGACTTGGTGATGCAGCTGTCTTTGAGTAATTTCTGCTTCTGTAAATAACCCCTCACCCATATTCTTGTTAGTAACCATAATAAAACTCATGGTTCACCAAGTTGGACTTTGGTCTGCCATGATAGCCCTATATGGGTTGAGTCACACAACATTGCTCCCCAAAGATCTCATACTTTAAATATTCCCCAAAATGCTTTTCCCATGTCCCCAAGCTATTCTCATCGGAAGTCTTCAACATTTCCGTAAGTGGACCACCACCTGGCCACTTCAGTTGAAAGTCAGAGAATGGCTCTTCAGAGCTATCTGTCCTTCTCAACTTCAATGGCCCTCTTCCCTCCATCTCAGCACCGCCATCTCACCCCCCTCCCTCCATCTCAGCACCGCCATCTCACCCCCTTCCCTCCATCTCAGCACTGCCATCTTGGCCCAGGTTCCTATCATCTCTAACTGGAGTACTCGCTTTTTAAGTGGAGTTCCTATTTTACTACAATCTATTCACAATTCAGCAGCCAAAGAAATAGCTTTAAACAGAATGTCACATGTCCCTATTGCTTTCTAGAGCCCCCTGTCACCTGTGGAACAGAATGCAAGCCTCATACTCTATATCCATAAGCCCTTGAAGCTACTGTTAACATGTGCATAGACTCCTTCCTCCTTTGGCCTTGAAGCTCCTGCCAAGTTCTTCCACTAGGCCCCTAGCTTACTTGGAGAGCTCGTCTTGCCCCTAACACTTGTAGGGCTGCCTCTTGCTAGCCTTTTGCATCTCAGCTGAAAAAGGGGACCCAGAGTAGAGCTTCCTCCATGTGAAGTAGACAAGGGTTCCCTTAGAATTCCTCTGTTTCCCTTTCTATATACACACTATCATTGCACAGTCTTTGACTGAAGCTTCTCTTGTTTGCTGCCAGTCTATTGTCATTAAAGAAGCACCATGTTCTATGAGAGACTCACATCCTTTCATCTGGAGAGGTGGTGAGGAACAGGTCTCACGTAGCCCAGGCTGTCCTAAATCTCACTATATAGCTGACACTGGCCTTGGACTCCTGACCCTTCTACTCTCACTTTCCAGGTGCTGGATTATAGTTGTGCACCATGTCTGTTCTTAACATTCCTGAAGCACTAGTAGGTGGCTGAGTTTGTAAAAGTGCTTGTTGCAGAAACATGGGTACCTGAGTCTAGATTCCCAGCACCCACTCAAAAGCTGGGTATGACAGCATATATCTATCTGGAGCCCCAGCACTGGGGGGCAAATACTGGGGGCCCATGAGCCAGCCTAACAAACAGTAAGCTCCAGGTTCAATGACAGATTCTGTCTCAAAATAGAAGTGGAGAACAAGTGAAATAAACACATTATGCTGAACTCTGGCTTCCAAACATGAATGCAAAAGCAAATGTACCTGTACATACATACACACACACACACACACACACAGACACACACCGTGCTAACTAAATACCTAGGTTTTTACTATTGTTTGGCACTAAGTATGAACTCAATAAATATTTATTGAATAGGTAAGTGAAGTAAGAACTCCTCTACCTTCAAGATGCTCCTTGATAAATGGATATAATAGCCTACAAACAAGTATATCCTGCAACAGGGTGACGAGTGTCACAACACCAGTGTACACAAAATACCACCCCTGGAAGAACACACAAGCAAAAAGATCAGAGCAGACAGAGTGACTGGCTCCATTCCCTGCTGAAGGGCAGCTTAGATTCCAACCTAGGTGGTCTGTCTTTACATCAGCAAGCCTGGTTCCATTCACACATACAGGTGAGGGAAAGCCTATATTTGCAGTAGAATTTGACTCAAACCCATTGACTTTTAAAGACAGAACTTGGTCTTTAATGGTATCCCTTCCTTCTGGGCTACAGAGATACCTCACTTTAGAATATGCTCCCTAGGCAGGGATGGAGTGCTCAAAGCAAGGAGATAAACAGCATCTCCTTCCCCCCCCACACAAAACTGCACTGACAATGCAGAGGTTCAAGTCCTCGTATTAAATTTTATCAAGTCACTGTGTGATCCTGCATGCTTGCTGTCTTTCTTTGGGCCTTACACCCATTATCCATCCAGGCACTGTGGATGCTCACACCCATGAATTTCACTTGCTGAAAATTCCTATCTAGTGATGACCCAGGTATCACAAGGTCATCATGGTGTAACACATTCTCACACTGGTGGTGACACTGAAGTAAACACTGGTGTAAACATGCCTACTACCCCGTCCTTCTTGTAAAATTACATATAGCAAGTAACACTTGGTATTGATAAGTGATTCTCTACTATTTATGCTATTTAGAAAGCATTCTTTCTACTCTTAAAAACACAGGTTTATTGTGACCCAGTATGGTGTGTTATACCGACAGCACCCTCATCTTGTGTTTTCTGTGTCTCCTGATTGCTTCATTTTCTCTTGTATTCGATTTAATCTCTTGATGTGATCTCACACATGCATCATATGGCCTAAGGAAGGGTGTAGCCAGCCTTGGTTTGTGTCAGAACTGCTTGTGACATTTATAAAGTGATGGAATTGCCTCATGTGTTTCTCTGAGGATAGCTTCATCGTTACATAATGCCTTCATGCAGTTAGCTCACAGCATGATCCAGGGGTAGTCCTTCCCTGTGAGGATGGGACCCCATCTGTCTGTGTGTCACAGCACCCTCCTCCAGCCCTGCCAGAGTCTGTGCTTTGGGATATGTGAGAGACAGTTGGGGGTGGGGAGGAGGTAGAAACGAAAGGTTTAGGGCGTGGCCTCAGATGCCAATACACAGTCAAGGCAGACCCTTCCTACCTTTCAGCTTCCCACCTGCCTCCCAGCTCTCTAGAAACCCACTGGCAACAGCTTTAGAAATGTGGATTGTACTTCTAACACATATCAGAAAAGTTTGTGTTTAAAGCATTGTCCTTAACCTCCAGGGATCTGTGTTTTTTTTTTTTTAACATATTATAAAATATAGTTGGTACCTGAATTTGGGGGCTGTTTAGCTCTATGACAGGCCATTACACTTGGGCCTGACAAGGCTATGTTCCATCTCTGTTACAGAAAATAAACACTTGAAGATCTTCAGCAAAGTGGAAATGGGTGAGCAGCTCAGGTAGTTCTAAACCTAGGAAATCTAATTCCAAAACACCAGTAGCCAGCAAATCACAATGGACCTGCCCCTCTCAATACTGGCCCAATACTGAGATTTTAGGGTAGGCAGAACCTAACAGATGAAGGAAAGGTTCACTGCAGAGAACTCCTCCATATCTGCAATCCTAGCACTTTGCAGGCCTCAGGCAAGAGGATTATAAAGTTAAAGTCATGATGGTCTATATAGTCAGAATCTAGTAAAGCAAAGGGGGAGGGGTGGGCATGAAGGCAAGGATGAGTCTCTCTCTCTGTGTGTGTGTGTGTGTGTGTGTGTGTGTGTGTAGGAATCAGATCAGTGGTCTAGTTGGGGCAGAGAATGGAAGGACTGATTACAAAAGGGACATAAGGGCATTCTTGAGGCTAATGGAAACGTTTTATAGCCCAAGTTAGGTGATGTTTCCCTATGGAGATTCAAAGACAGCAGGAATAACCTGGAAATTTTAAAAGGCACAGGCATGCCTAGCCTGGCTGGAGCACACTAAGGGAGGGGAGGATGTTGGACAGGGTCAGAGAAGCAGGCAGAAGGCCTATGTGCTCTTGATAGCTGGGGTTTCACTCCAGTGCCATTGGAAGCTTCTGGGTGGCTTCAAGCCTTGTTTTCTGGTCTCTTAAGGACTGAACCCTACCATGTATGTATTTTTCTTTTCTGGACCTAGAACCTTGGTGAGGCTCTCCAATTGTTCCCCTGGTGTGTGCTGAGAACACCGGTCACTGTGTCCTTGGACTCCCACCTCCTACATATGGGGATACATCCACCATTTGACCTTGTCCCTTCTTGCAGCCACACAGGACTGACTTCAGCCCCTGTACCAAGGTGGTTTTCCAGGCCTTCCTAATGAAGGCACAAGGGTCCAACATCAGGTCCTTCCCTGCCCAGTGCTGGGTATCTTGACCCGCAGTGTCTCAGCAGCTCTGGGCCACACAGCAGTCCCCCTTGGACTCTCTCCCACCTGACTCACCTTCACCCAGTGTCTGCTTGAGTAAGTCATGCTTGGCTTGCAACTTGGTGATGAGGTTACTGCCATTCACATATTCTTTAAATTTCTGTAAAACACACAAGCATAAGGAAATTAAAGGGCATGCAACAAGTGATGATAGGGTCTCTAACTCTAATCCCACCTCCCCCCTACCTAGCAGGGAAACCAAATAGATGTCAGACTATCCAGGACCTGGAAATGGGGACAGGCAGGACTTTGTAGCTGCTTTGAGCTATTCCAAGTAGCTGTCTAATTCATGGGGGTCCCCTGGCCATATAGGTTGGATTGTCACACAAGAGGCAGGAGAGTATGGCAGCAGTGGAGACTGCTTCTTGAGTCTTCAAGAGGCAGGAGATGTGGGCAGCACAAGACAAAGGGCCCCTTTGGTCACCAAATCTTTCCTATGTTTCTGGGACCAAAGCAACAAGGAAGAGAGCCATGCAGAGCCCAGCAGCCAAGGCCAAGAGCTACCAGAGCAGAGCTAAAATGAGCCTTTCTTCCAAATGAGGAAGGGCTGTGCAGGCCACTGAGAAATCTTGCATCAGTAGGCTTATCACTGCACCAGGGACATGATTTTCTAGGTGAATGAGATAAAGAAGGGTGTACAGAAAGTACTTTGTCCCAAGTGTGTGTGTTAGAGAGATGGAGATAGATAGAGAGAGGGAGGGAGGGAGGGAGAGAGAGACAGAGATGCCTCTCCATGATCTTGTAGGGCTAATGGAAAAAGTAAAAAAGTATGATCAATCATACTTGTACACACACACACAAAACACACACACACAGAGAGAGAGAGAGAGAGAGAGAGAGAGAGAGAGAGAGAGAGAGAGAGAGAGAAGCCTCTTCATGATCTTGGAAGACTAATGGGAAAAGCTTGATCATACTTATTCTAAGGAAACAGAAGCCCAGAGTTAGGCTCCTTGCTGTGCAGCCAGGAGTTTCTAGCCCCTCATTAGCTCCTTGAGGTAAGCTGACAGTAGACTTAGAATATCTCTCCAAATGTGGAGCAGAGAACCAGCAGCCTCATCACCAGTTGGGAAAACTGTTAATACACAAATTTCCTTTTCATGATACCTTGAATCTAACCCTTCATTTCTCACTTGGGAAGGAATCACAGGGGCCATAAGCTTCCAAGTTTCAGAGCCATACTGAGGAAGACAGGAAATGAAGCACTTGAATTTTAACTGAGTTCCTGGCTCTGGGTAATGCACATCTTTGCTTCAGTCAGTAAGTACTGACTTACAGGCTGGTGGTGGAGGCTTCTAACAATACCATCCTCTGATCTCATCACATGTCTAAGAATTAATAAGAAACCAAAGGTGAGGTGTCCACATAAAAGGATGATCATGCCTGAAGTTGTTTTCTGGCCTCTGGAAGACAAACAACCACACACACACACACACACACACACACACACACACACACACTTGCATGCACAGACACACACACACACACATACACACACACACACTTGCATGCACACATATCAATACATGTATAAAGCATATAAATATATGCACACACACAAAAGAAAAAACATCTTCTGATCCTTGGTAAAAAGACACTAGATTACTTTAAATATAAGCAGGCTGTGCCCCTTCCTCTGCTTCTGCTTCCCAGAGTTTGTTGTACTGCTAAAGTGACTTTGTATTTATCCCCATCTGCACTCCCTGCCCCTTAGAGACAACAACTTCTCCTTGCCAACACAGTAGACCTCTAACAGAAGTAGTAGATGCCAAGAGTCATGAAGACTAGCTTTATTTTCTTTCTTGACAAGGTCAAAGGATATTGAAGTATATGTCAACTATTGCATTGTAGCAGGGTTTTGATTACAGCTTACCAATTGTAGCATTGGATGCTAGAATTAGAGTGATTTGTGACACATTCTGTGAGTATAACCCAGTCAACACAAGCCTTGCTGTGTGTCTCTAGTAGCCTGACTGTCAGCCTCGGCAGTAGCCTGGCATAGCCATCACATTTTCTTATTAGCAAACTTGAAGGTAATTGAGGCCATGCTCCCTGAGTCTGCATCTCATACAAGATCTGAAAAGGGCATGGAGGTCAATTAGATTAGGATACTGACAATCTGGACCTGTGTCATGACTCTATCAAGAGGACAGTTCAGTGAAGACCTCCCTACATTTTTACCTATAGGGCCTTTAAGAGGAGGGAGACCTGGCTGCATACAGAGAAGAATTAGCTGACACCACCTTAGCTTAAAAATAAAATAACAAGGGCCAGGTGTGGTAATGCATGTCTTCAGTGAGTTTTGTTGTGTTGTAGACGTTCAAAGAGAAAGGATTCAGGAGGGAGCTACTAGGGTGCTGAGACTGCTTGGAACAAAGCTTATAAGGTAGGGTTAGAAGAATCAGGACATTCAGCGTGGAGGAAGGAAACCCCAGATTTCTAAAGCCAGGGACAGACTGTCAGGTAGCATCAGCTTCTCTCTGGTCACCAAAGAAAATAGCATCAAGACCAATGGCCAGGAATCATAGGGTGGTAGATTTCCCAAAGATAACAAAGGAAATCTCCAGCCACAACTCAAGCAGGAAAACTATTTGGGTAAAAGGGAGCTTTTCACGCTGCACATTTGAGCAGAGTCACTATGAGTTTTTTGTGGGATGTGCACCAGGTGGAAGGTAAGTCCCTTACAGCCCCAATCTCCATATTCAATAAGCCCAATTTGAACTAAATCCTCAATTCTCCTCCCCCACTTTCCTCCTGGCCCCTGGCCAAAATGGAGGTCTGTAACCTGGGATTTTACAGAAGGGACTAGCAACTCGTGAATAACTTGCTTGCAATGCTGAGGTCCTCATTTTCAAAGCTTAGTCACCAATTTAAGACAATAGCATACACATAACAGTTGTTACCTGACTCCTTCACCATGTTCCTTTAACCCAGCAGTTCTCAACCTTCCTAATGATGTGACCCTATAATACAGATCCTCATGTTGTGGTGACCTCCAACTGTAAAATATTTTCATTGCTATTCCATAACTGTAATCTTGCTATTGTTATGAATCATAATGTAAATATCTGATATGCAGGCTGACTTTAGGAGACCCCTGTGAACCACTGCTTTAATCCAACTGAACAGAACTCTTTCTTTGGTTCCTTCCAAAAGCATCAGTGACCATCACACATGAATACCACCCACTGGTGAGTCACTTTCTCCACTTCAGAAAAGCAAGCCAAGCAACCTTATGTTAAAAAACATGTTAGGAGATTTATGTCATATTATTCTGCTGGCTCTCTTTCATTCGTTCAGACTGCTTCCAAAGCCACAGGCAGGGATCAACAGTGGGCCCTGGGTCCCAGATGCCACTTACTGTGAAATAAAACATTTCTGTTTCCTGCTGGTTGGCTCTCCTTTTGGCGATGTTGATTTTGCTCATGTAGGTCTCAGATGCAGCTGACTTTACAGACTCTGTAGAGCGGCTGTGTTGGAAAGCATCAGAGACATCAAAGTCCTCCACGGTCAGCATGTCCTGTAAGGTCTGCATGGTGGCATCTAAGGTTTTCCTAACCTAGGGAAAACAGCACAAACACTTTTATTCTCATAAAGCCTCTGATACCACTAAGTCTTTTTCCTGACGGTTGCTTTGTTCTTTCACTTATTGTCCTAGAAGGTAGGCAGGACAAGATGGTTGCTCATAGACAGTGAGGCGAATTTGTCATTGGTCCAAGACCAAGTAATTAGCAGGTTGGGAAGCCAGATTGTCCAATCTAAGGCCATTTATTGAATTGCTTCTGTCTGAGGGACCTTGGAAATGTCATAAGGATAATGAGTCAAGTTTCTAGGCTTGTTTCTCTGGTCCTAGTAGATAACCTAAAGGAACATGGCGATCAACAGAAATGCTCTGGTGTCTCCTCTCATTTAGGGAGGAACAGAGCATCTGGTGTTGGGCAGTGATCTGCTGGGACACAGGACCTCAAGGAAGTTAGTTCACCGCCACAGGGTTTAGTTGGGACTCCAGCTTCCATCCTGAGTCAAGTGACATCACATTTCACAGAGACTACAAAAACAGGGCATGAGGATCCCAGCCTCACAGAAGCCCTGGGATGTGTGGGATCTCACATCCCAGAGGTAGGTCAGTCCCAAAGGAATCACAAGCAGAAAATCAGATTCCGTTTATTGTAAGATCATTGTCACTCCAAGTCTCTTTTACTGCTCCCAGCTGAAATATCACCTCCTAATGGTGTCAGGCCCCCTAGCATGTGCCATTCATGGGCTAGTGTTTTTTCATATGCAGTCACTCATTTGCCTTCATGTTTCAATTTCTGGTGTTTTCTCATCAGAAAGAAGAAAAACACTATGAGACTGTTCCTTTGATTTACTCTCTATCTAGGTTAATGTTTAGTGGGTATTATGTGAATAAATATTACATAAATAAATACTTGTTGAATAAATAAGTGAATAATTTATTTTTTTTTCCAACACAGACTAACGGAAGTTGATTCAAGGATAAGACTATCCAAGCCCATCCACAGCCCACGGAGAGGGCTGTGTGCCTCATTCTCCTCCCTGTGGCTCTGATTTCCATTTAAATTCCATTAATGGCACTATGCATGTGAACCATTTAAAATCCTTTGGGGGGAAGACAAAAGATAAAAAGAAAGCAAGCAAGCATTCTGCCTAGCTCCTGTCTCTCTCTTGCCAGGTTTAAAAGACCAGTCAGTTTGTCTTCTTATGACCATCCTTAGATCTGCTTTGATTTATGTCAACTCAGCTCTGTCCTAGCTCTGTCCTTTGCAGGGATACCAGCACAACTGTCCCTGCCGTCCAGGATAGGCTGCATGACATTTGAAGGCAGTGGTCTTGCCTTCTTACCTTCCACCATGACTGTACTTCTTGGGGATACGTTTGTCTCACAGCTTTGAGTAGCACTGCCCAAATCCTGAGGTTCTTTCCCCAAGGCTGTAGGGTTGGCTGGTATTCCTCCTCTGAGTGGGGTATTTAGGTCTTAGTAGGACACTGTCTACCTGGCCTCTTCAGCCCACATTACAATGCACCCACCCAGTGTGAGGCTGTGCCACTAGGCAATATGGGAGGAACACTGGGCTGGTGAGACTAACCCATTCCCTGGGGTTTAAAATGCACAATACATTTAGGGCAGTCTGGGCTATCTATTTCATTGTGTGATTGTGAATACTTACTCGGATGATACAACATGAACTTATTGCAGAGAATGAGGCGGGAAAGCACCAAGTCCGTAGTAACCACCAATCACTCTATAGCTGAGATGCAGCCAAGGTTCACATTTTGAAACATTTTTCCTGCGGGCTTTTCTCTACGCCTGCAAATCTGCAATCATTCTAAACATAGAGTCCCACTTCCTCTGGCTTCCCTTTCATCTGAGATCTTGTAAGCATCCTTCAGGCCATTAAAGATTCTTAGCACAGATAGGTTGTGTGGTTGTATATCTCTCACCAATGAACCATTGTTTCCTATATAGTCCAGGGCATGAGATGCCCCAGCAGCTCACTAGGCAACTAGACCCAGGGCGGCAGCTCACTCACCTCTTCATTCTCAATCTTGAGAGTGGCCAGCCTGGACTGCAGCTGGTGGTACCGCATAAGCAGCTCTGTCTGGACGGGCTGCTGTGCACTGACCTGGCACACCTGTAGAAAGAAACACAAGCATTGCAGCTGCATGGAGACTATCATTAACATTCCATCCAGAGCCCAGGACACAGGTCCAGCAATGCAGAGTGACCTGCCCTAGGTCACCCAGGTTGGAAACAGCAAAGGCAGTACCAGATGGAAACTAGGGTCCTCTTACTCCAGAGTCTACCCTCTTGCTGTGGCCAGCATGGCTTCCCAGTCACAATCTTCTATGTTTGCACAGTAATTGTGGGCTTACAAAGACCTTCAGCCTAATCTTGGCAAACCAAACTAATTAATTGCAAGGCAGGAAGTTGTGGGATGAAAGCACCTGCTTGAACAGCCAGTAACAAGTATAATGAACCAGAAGCAGTTGACAAGTGATCCTGTCACCACAGGGATGCATAAAAATGTATCAGAGAGACAACTTTGATGATCACACTGTTGGTCCTCTGTGTCCACAAGTTTCCTGTCCACAAATTCAGCCAACCAAGGACAGAAAGTATAAATAGGGAGAAAATAAAAATAAAAAACAAAGAAACACCTAAACTGAATGCAGGCAGGCATTTTCTTCTCATCATCCCCCAAAGTGTACAGTACAAGTATGGACAACATTTACATTGTGTTGGGTATGCTAAGTAATACAGAGATGATTTCTCAAGTACGGAGGAGGATGTGCACAGGTTCTTTGTAACCACTGTGCTGTTTTATATAAGGTGCTCAGTACCCTCGGATTTGAACATCCTCTGTATCCTGGAAGCAGTCACCCACTGATACCAACAGCAGCTGTGCTATTCTTCTGGAGTCTTCCTTTCCAAAGTTGTTACCACCTGTGGGCAGGGCTACCTGGTATACTGTGGTTTCTCACCCTTTCTAAGAACACAGCTAAGATCATGCAGGATAATCAGGCTGTTAGGTGAGCTAGTTATTCACTGCTAACTGCTAACTAGGCAGCCAAGCTTCACAGTAACCAGTTAGTCCCAGAATCTTCAGGTATAGGTGACAGGCCAAAGGGCAGACCTGGAACAGTGGGATGCCCCAGGAAGAGTGGTGTCACCTTGTACAAACAAGTCCTCTCCTGTGCAAATGAAGGAAGTGGGCAAAGCCATGTAGAGGGTGCAGCTGTGGTTATCTTCTAAGATGTCCCCTGTCCCTCCCCAGAAGCAGATGTTACACGTGGTTCAGCTGAGCTCCCCATTGGCTTCCGAGGCTGGCTGGTTTTGCTCTCCTGTGGTTCTGCACCCACCTGCCTCCCAACTCCCAGAGGGAAAATGATCCTGGAAAGTACAGGGAGCTACCTTCTACATGGGGAACAGAGCACAGTGTCAAGTGCCTTCTGCATACTCTTTGTTTTCCAGAACTCAGCAAGGGTCTGAGCAGCACAAGCACAGAAGGAAAGTCAGTTGTCTGGTGTTTCAAAGGCTCACGGTACTGTAGAGAGCATCAGATGAGGGCACCTAAGGTCTAAGGAGATAGGAGACTATTTCTAGGCAGACTGGAGCATCCTTGAGGTCTCCTAAACACATCTAAGAGAGAGCCTAAGGAAAGCCAAGGTCCCACAGTTCTGTAGGTGGGGACGTTAGCCAACAAGACAAGATCATCTGAAGAAGCACATGAATTAAGAGCTGACCCTAGGCCTCTGCAGTAAATAAACAGCATATGTACTCAAGGTTATTTTTCTCCTCCCACAATGCTCTAGAAGCATGGCAGAGAACAGAAGCAGCAGCTATGATGCTAACATGCCCTACTCCCAAATTTGAGGCACGGGAAACTTAGTCTCAAAGTCATGTACAAATGCCATTTGGAGGTCAGGACTGCTGGGAAGTGATTTGGATTAGATGAGGTACTGAGGATAAGGCCACCATGATGGCATTAATGGCTTATCGGAAGTAGACAAAAGGCAGACTGGAGCTACACGCTTGCTCTGCCTTGCCGTGTGGCAACCATGCGATGTCATTATGGAGCAAGATGGCCCTCATGAGATGCCAAGTAGATGCTGGCTCCTGCTTTTACACTTCCTAGCTTTCCTCCCTGTGAGCTAAAGAAGCCTCTATTCCAGTAGCACTCAACGCTCCTCTCACTGCAGCTTAATGCAGTTCCTCATGTTGTGGTGACCCCCAACCATAAAATTATTTTTGATGCTGCTTCATAATTGTAATTTTGCTATTGTAATGTAAATATTTTTGGGAGATAGATGGTTGCCTAAGGGGTTGCAACCCACAGGTTGAGAACCACTGCTCTATTCTGAGTTATTCAGACTTTCATACGGTAGTAGAAACTGGACTCGAACAGCTGGCCCCCAAGCAGGGTTCTGGCAGGAAGCTTACCTCATCCCCCATGTGGGGTTGGAACTCAAACTTGAGTGGCGGGCAGAAGACCTGACTACACATGTCCATGACCGTGTGCTTGTCACTCCGGGAGTCCAGGTTGTCCACTGCATTCTCTATGACATCCAGGCCCTCATGGCGAGAGGTTTCCAGGTTATATTCTGCTGAGAGGTAGGTCCGAAAGGTGCGGGCCAGACTGGCATGAAAGCCCAAATCACAGCACTTGGGGAAAGGCAAGGACAGAAAGATACAGATGAGAGCTGGGATGGTGACCTATGGTTATCTTTCAGTCCACAGCACTTTGGAGGCCTGCACTAGCCATATCACACCCCTCAGAGGGAGCTGAGAGCTGAAATGTGAGTACCAACAGCGTTTCTTTCAGCTCCCCATGCTCCACCACAGTTTCTCATCTCCAGGCTTTTTCCATCCATGCTCTCTGCCTAGATGGTCTCCATCTGCCATTTAGTTTACAGGCTGGTTTCTGGAAGTTTTTCTTGATGTTCTCCATACCGAGTTTTGGGCAAAGATTGAGTGACCCTTGCCAATTGCCACTGTAATTGTCTACTAACATGCCCTAGAGAGGTGTGCTCCATGGGGCCTGCTAGATCTTGGTCACCACTAAGCCTGAAGTCCTAGCCCACAGTAAGGTGCTCTGTAAACATTTGGCAAGCAAATAGACAAAAAAGGCTAAAAGCTGAAAGAAGAGCTGAGAGCAAGGAAACAGAGGTGGCTTTAGGCCATTGGAAGGGCGAGTAGACTGCCCCCCACTCCCAGTCCCATGCCCTGACTTCCAGAATAGGATATACAGGGTTAGGGGAAAAGAATCCAGAAACTAATATCTACTGAGCACCTACAGGAATGGATCCCCCATTTATCATGGAAGGGGAGACAAAGAAACAGTCCCAGCTGTAATGTAGGTGACATGGTCTCCCATCACTGCCATCACAGTGCCCTTCTTTAAGCCTGGTGTTCTCCAGGGAGCCCTGCACAGCCAGCTCCCCACAGAGTCCGTGTTCTACTCTTCAGTGATCAAACTCATTACTCCCAGGAGAATTTCCCCACACCAAGAGATTCTATGCCATTCTCTCTCTCTAGTGACTTTCCCATGGTGTACACCTGGCTGGCAGGACCCAAAGGCTCTGAATGAATGGCTCCCTCTCCCCTTCCATACCAGTAGCCTCTAAGGACATGAACCTTATACAGTTCTCCCCTGTGCCCTCACACCCAGCAGAGGCCCTGGTGCACAGGAGAGGACTTTGGAAGTTGGTATTGAATATCTAACTAATCAAGCTATGGGGTGCAGGGAGGGGGGTCAACCAGAACTCACTCAATCCATGGAAAGTGTGACCATGAATTAGCTCATAGCCAAGTAACAAACACTTCCAGTTCTTCAGCTCTAGCAGGGTCACAAAAGCTTGGCCAGCTCACATGCCAACTGAGGATCATGGCCAGCCCCATCTTCCCCTAGTTCATGAGATGTTCCAGCCCGCATGTAGCCCCACCCAGAAACCCAGGTTGCTCACATCAATGAGATCAGACACATCGTGGATGTAGTATTTGCTGATAGCTGCGTTGGTGGCTGCCAGATTCAGCAGGTAGTCATTGCGAGCCTTCGTGCACTTAAGCTTGTTCTCAGAGTATTTGGCCTGCCTCTGGAGGGAGAAGAGGTAGACATCAGAGCCAAGCAGTCGGGGGGAGAATCTATGATCTCCATGGGAACTGTCTGACAGTGAGACCCACCTCCCAGCTATGGGATGCTCCTGTGTCAAGGGAGCTCTATTGGACCCTGAACTCAGCAATACACCTTGTCTAGCACAGGTGCAACTAGCAATGATGCCATTTATTACACAGCAGCTTCCAGGTGATCTCTACCAGGTGGGTTAGAGATAAGATACCCCCACCTTCAGTACCCTCCATGGACTTCCCAAAATGTTTTCAATTAGCCACCACTCCAGGCCACCATGGCAGCCCTATCTTTATGTATACTCCCCTTCTCTCACCCAACCTCTTTTGTCCATCATCAAGAGACCAAGTTCATTTCTGCATTGAGTCCTTCAGACTCCTTATACTCACATTCCTGAACCTCTTTGTGTTCTGTTCCTTGGTGTCACCCAAGTGAGAGCCACACAAGGTACTGATGATGGCTTTGTCTGATACGTATCTCTTGCATCTCTACTCCTCTCCCCTTGCCCTGTTCTATCCTCATAAGCTCTTTGTTTATTTGTTGGAGACTGGCACACCCACAAGAAAGTGAACTCTATGAAGTCAGCACCATAACTTGCCTTGACTGTGGGTGGTGGATCTGTAGCACCCAAACAGAACAACCAGGTAAGGTAAGCCTTGGGTCATTTTTTACAAGGGGGAAAGGGGAGGGAGAAGAGGAGAAGAAAAAAAGGGGGGGAGCAAGTCTAGGTCTAAATGGCAGGAGGAGTAGGGCAGAGTACCCAGAGTTTGGGCAAAGCAGCTTTAGTCCTGGGTCAGACCAAAAGGGAGGAGTACAAGGGGGCACGATGGACAACTGCCCCTGCCCTTTTCAGACTGGTGAGTCTTTAAAGAAACCATGCCTCCAGGTGGTGATGGTGGCCCATGCCTTTAATCCCAGTACTTGGGAGGCAGAGGCAGGCCGATCTCTGTGAGTTCAAGGCTCGCCTGATCTACAGAGCAAGTTCTGGGATAGGCTCCAAAGCTATACAGAGAAACCCTGTCTGGAAAAACAAAACAAAAACAAAGGAAAGAAAATAAACCATGCCTCCTCCTTAGTTCAGCTAGCTGTTCTTTCCCATTTCCCATTCCATGTGAGAGCTAGCTTTGGAATAGACCAGTCCCACCATCAACCTTTAATTCTCCTCAGGGACCTTAGGTCTTCTCACTCTGGGACCACTCAGCAGATGTCTCCTGGAACTCATAGCCTGTGCCAGCCCAGGCACCAACCCATAGAAGGTCTGAACTCTCCTGACCCCACCTAGAGGCTCATTATGGCCCTGAGACCATTTTCCTGGGTTGACTTCATTTTAAAATTGAAGAGGACAATCACGGCATCTTAGCTGAACTCATCTATTTATAGGTGGGAAGTGAGAGCTGAAGAAGAAAAGTGGCTTGTCCATGAGCCAAGCGGCTAATTAGCATATGGCTGCACCAGGAATGAGCCTCCAGAATCCCAGCCAGTATCTTTCCACCCCAGAATTTCCTCTGAAGAGAAAGAAACCTTGCACCAATGAGCAGCCACTTGTCATCCTCCTCTCCCTCAGATCCGGAATACCAACAGTCTACTTCCTGGGTCCATGGGTGTGTCTATTCTGGACATTTTACATAAGTTGTGCCTGTCTTCTTTCACTTAGCATAATGTCTTTGGGGTTCTTCCACATTGTGGCATGTATCAGGACATCATTCCTTTTGGTGGCTGGGTTATTATTTGTCAGTAGCTGAATGTTCAAGTTGTTCCCATCTTTTGGCTACCTTGAACAGTACTACTGTGAATATTCACATACAAATTTTTATACAAATACGTTTTTCATGCCTCTGGGGCAGATACTTAGGAGTGGCACGACTAAGTCACGTGGTAGCCTGGTCCATGAATATCCCACATCTAAAGTGCTGCCAGATGGCTTTCCACAGTGACAGAATCGCTCCCATACACAGCCTGCCCTGACAGCAGGGCAAGATTTCCTGATTCCCATATCATCATCCCTGCTTCTTCCTCCAGCCTTTTCATCCTGGTCCTTCGGGTAGCTGTGAAGGACTGTTGCACTGTGGTTTTCATTTGCATGTCCTTCTTTGCTAATAATGCTGAGCAGATTGCTCTGTATCTATGGACTACCTAGAGGTTCTTAGGAATTGGCTATTCTAAGAGATGGCTCAGCAGTTCAGGGTGCTGGCTCTTCCTCTAGAGGACCCAGGTTCAATTCCCAGCACCCACATGGTGGCTCACAACTGTCTGTAACTCCAGTTCCTGGGTATCTGACACCCTCTTCTAGTCTCTGAGGGTATCAAATATAAAAGTGGGGCATTTACGTACATGCTGACAAAACACCCATAAATAAAATAATTTTAAAAAGAAATGTCTATTCAAATTCCTTGACCATTTTGGTATAAAGTCTTTGACTGGGTTTTGTATTTTCCTCACTTTCAAAAATTATACCAGGACACACACACACACACACACACACACACACACACACACACACACACCTTTATATTTGCCAGTTTACCCAGCTTCTGTTACACTTTGTTCCCACCAGTCTATAATTTCTAGAGCTAAAGGACCCTGTAATCATAGAATTAGACCCATGGAAGAACAGATAAACATCTGATGCAATGGCTTGCCGATAGAAGAACTCTGCAAACGTTTCCTGGTTGTGGGGAGTAGATGAATATGGAGAGTTCAGCAAGAAGATCATAGCCTTTGAAGAAGAAAGGAGAGTTGGAAGTCACAGATGGGTCCTGCGCTTCAAAAGTCACTGGCTATAGCAGATGTCATTAAGCGATCTTAGCACCTTTTCAACTAAGCCTTGATAAAGCTTCAGAATCCTCAACAGAGCACTCTGAGCAGCCACTATCAATATATCAGAGCCAACATGAGCAATAAGATTTACTTATCAGATTTGAAAACTGAAGCTCAGGGAGAGGTGTTAACGTAGCATGTAAAACCCCCAGCTGAGATGCTGGGGGCAGGGCTCATGGGTAAAGTGGTTGCTGTGTGTGCATAAAGACCTGCTTGGATCCCTAGCTCCATGTGAAAACTGAACTCAGGTCTGTAACCCTAGAGCTGGGGGAGGGATAGGAGACTCCTTGGACTTGATGGCCAGCTGACCTAGCCAATCAGTGCGCTACAGGTTCAGAGACAGACAATGTCTCAAAGAGTAAGGCAGAGAGAGCAACAGAGGAAGATACTTGATCTCAACCTCTGGCCTCTACATACACAGGTGAGGAGCACACTTGCATACAAATGTTCACACACTTGCATACAACATACATAAGTAAACAAAAAAAAAAAAAAAACTAACCCCAGGCTATTGGACTCCAAATCTTAATCTCTGTCCACGACACCTACAAAAAGGCTTTGTAGTACCCATACACAGTGATTCAGAAGCTATGGTCTTTGACATGGCCATGGCAATTTCACAACAGGCCTGTGACAGCTTTAAATGTTAACTTGACACAACCTAAAAATTACCTGGGAAGAGAGCCTCAATGGGGGATTGTCTACATTGGGTGGACTCTGGGCATGGCTGTAGGAGATTGTCTTAACTGAGTGAAATAAAATGGGAAGATCTACTCTGAATGCATGTCACACTATTTCATTGGCTGGGTCCTGAACTTAGTTAAGTGAATAAAGCTAGCTCAGCATAAGGAAGTGATGGAGTGAGCGAGTGTGTTCATTTCTCTCTGCTCTTGACTCTGGATGTGATACGATTAGCCATTTTCAGTGCCTGCCACTTGGATGTCCCTGCTGTCATAGGCTGTAACCTGGAACTGTGAGCTAAAGTAAACTCTTTCTCCCTTAAGTTGCTTTCGGTCAGAATATTTGATAACAGCAGCACAAATGGAACCAGGACAGGCCCTCTATCCTTCCTGCAAAGGGGAAGGCAAGTCTGCATCTGAGTGCTTGGCTCCTCTTCATGCCTTACCCCTTTTCTCCCACTCACCTTCTCCTTCATCTTCTCAATCTTCTTCACAGAGCTGCGGCGCTGGGGCCGGTCCTCATGCCGGAGCAGGTTCATGCTGAGGTCTCCTGACTTGTTGAACTGTTTCTCCTCCTGCTTCTCAGCCTCCTTCAGCTTGCTTTCTGCACTGATGCTCTCTGCATGGTACATGTGGTAGGTTTTCATGACCTGGGGATACATTCGTACAAGAAACCAGTAGCCTGTTAGGGATCAGCATGGTACATCCTGTTCCTGGCCCCACCCCAAGTTCCACGTGAACTGTCTTTCTCCCCATCACACATTCATCTTAATTTCTTTACTTCTGCTTAGACTCCCCGAGGACTGGAAATGAAGATGTTCCTCAGGTGTACCAACTTTATCATGAGTGACATCATCGTCACCCTCTTCATCATTATCATCATCATCATCATTGAGGCCCTACTAAGTATCAAGCATTAGCTAGTAAATGGGAAATTAGAAGAGCCACCATAACCCACAGGTGGTATGGCAAGCTGGGCCCTTGTTGGCTGTCCTCTCTAGTCCTGCTAGCTGTGGCCCTTATATCTTTCCTCCTCATCTCTACCCCCAAGTCAGTGGGAAAGCCCTTAAAAAGGGCTTTTGCAAACTGCCCTGTTATATAACCTAATAGATACTCTGTGGTCCCTGGAATACATTCAACCTCAGCTATACAAAGAATTCCAACAAAGCAAATTGCACTCTGCTACTCGTCTCCTATAACAAAACAGGATATGATTATAACAGGGGGAATTCTGAGCCCAAAGTTTCATCCTGAAACCTTTCCAAACTTGCAATGCGACCTATGAATGAGACATGAAGTCAGCATTTCCTCTCAGATCTTAATGGAGACTTCTCTGTAGCCCACCCACGTGGCTCACTTCCAGTTTCCCCCAAAGCCACAAGAACCCCCTTCTCACTGATTTCATTCATTCCAGTATGCCAGTTCCAATAAACTCTTGCAAACCCCCACAGCCCATGAAGAATCCCTACTGGTTCGACCTCTAGTGGCCAGAAGGAAAGACTGCAACCTTAACAGGTGAGCAAAGAGGTCCTGTTATCCCCCAAGGGTCTTTAGGCCATAGTTGACAAAAAGACCAAGTGGTCAAGAACTGGAAGCATCCACTGAAATCTTCTTGGGATGCCTACCTTCCCCTGTGATGCTCCCCTACGCCTCTGTGCTCAGAGGCACTCAGCTCTGTGGCTTTGCTGTCACAATGCTACTGCTCTTTGAATCTACACACACACACACACACACACACACACACACACACACACACCCTTCCTGGGTTTAGTAATGATTGCTACATCAACTTCTACTTCAGCTTTCCAGGTCTGCTCATCTCAGCAGCAATCTATCATCTGTACTGGGCCATTCCTACTGGCGGGGGAAGCATTTTGATGTGTGTCTAGATCAGTGATTCTCAACCTGGGGGTCGAGACCCCCTTCAAGGTTGAACAACCCTTTCGCAGGATTCACCCAAGACCATCAGAAAACACTGATATATTTACAGTGTGATTCATAGCGCTAGCAAAATTACAGTTCAGATGTAACGTTGAAAACAATTTTATGGTTGGGGGTCTCAGCAACATGAGGAGCTATATTAAAAGGTCATAGCATTAGGAAGGTTGGCAACCACCGCCTAAACCAATCATTCAAATGTGCATCTGTTGAACAGAACCATGGTGGCATCCCAGCAGGGGGTTCTCACTTCCCATGATTTCCTCTGCCTCGGTTTCTTTTCGCCCCACATTGCTTCATTTTCTTTCACTCCTCTTGAGCCACAGTGTGCTTTCCATGTCCTACAAGTAAACTTCTAGAACTGTCCCAAAATTCCCATGCACTAAGAATAGAGCCCAGAGAACCTGGGCCCCAACTGCCTGTGATCCCACTGAATCCTGATCCCAAAGATAGTTGGGAATTCAATTGTATAGGATGACATGCCAGACAGCTGCCACTGAAGAGCTTATTTGCAGACCACTCCGAAATGAGTTTATTTATACCGGAACCCTCAATTGTTGTCTTTATTTAATTACAGTTATCCTTTGGTATTCATGAAGGACTGGTTCTCAGAATTCCCCCACAGATGCCAAAATCTGCAAATGCTCATCTCTTATATAAAACTGTATAAAGCCTGAGTATGTCCTTCTGAAGACCTTAAGTCATTTCTAGATCATTTACAATAAATGTTATATAATAGATGTCATACTATGCTGAGAATAATTATAAGGAGAAAGTCTGCCCACATTCAGTATGGACATTTTTTTCTGAATATTTCCTGAAGTTTCCCAAATATTTCCACAAATACAGAACTGGCAGATACCCAGAGCTAACTGGACCCGAAACACAGGCTTCAGCAGGGAAAGACTTCAGTCCAATAGCCTAGAAGAGTCTGCTTGCTGATTGCCAATTCAGGTTGTGTGAAGTCATATTTAAGCTTATCTGGGGCCAGGGGAGGAGGGGAGGGAGAGGGAACTGGGATTGACATGTAAAACAATCTTGTTTCTAATTTAAATTTTTAAAAATGGAAAAAATAAAACAAAGGAGAAAAAAAGCTTATCTGGTACTTCAGAGTTTACAAACGTCTTTCAATTATCTGCTTCTATTGAAGGAGCATTTCAAACCACCCTTAGCCAGTGTGATATCAATTAAAAAGGCAACAGCGGTTAAGACTGACTGAGCACCTCCTTCGTGCTGAGCCTTCACCTATGCTCCACGTACGCCACACTATTGATTACTCTCAAAAATCCTATGGCAAAGGCATCTCTGATCTCTGATTTATAGGTGAGGACCTCAAACCAGTTCACTCCTCTTCCTTGAGGTCAAAATGCTAGCACAGATGAAGTCAAGACTCAAAGCCAAGCTGGCTGACCCCCTGCAGGAGTCTAATGGGCACATGTGTTGTCACTCCCTCTTGGTACACTTTCCTCTACCATGCAAAGGGATGACAGGATCCTAAAGCTCACTAGGCTTCAGAAGAACTTGGAGTCTCAACCATCCTACTAAATCCTAGGTGTCTATGGAGAGGATGTGTGTCTTCATGCCCTCCTGGTGATGTTCAGACAGGGGCAGATGTAGGTATTTTAGAAACAGGGGGTGCATCTGCACACTAGGATAGGGCATGTGTGTGTGTGTGTGTGGTCCAGAGGCCCCCATCCCACATGATATCTAGCATGGGGGGGGGCGCCTAGGGAACAAGCTCAAAGGGACACAGAAGTTGGGACACTATCTTGGACGTGCATGTTCTCAGAATGTAAGAGCCAGGAGGTCCTCTAGGAATCTTGGTTTATTAATTCCTCATTCAAAGAAACTGAGACTGGAGTCTGGGTCTTTTGGCCCCTAGGCCTGGCCTTTTCTGGTAATCATGCTGTCTTTTGTTATATTCACCTGCCTTTCACAGCTTCCCAAATGCCAGATCCTGAAGGAGGGAAGTGGTGGGGAACTTTTAGACCCTCATTTAAATGCAAAAGATAACAGAGAACTTGGAAGTTAATAGCATCCATAAGGAGGCATGCTTTATAGACTTCAAGAGGATCAGCTGCCAGGAAACAATTTCTCAAAGGTGTGCCTTGATCCCCGGGTAGGGCCAACCCAAGGCACAGTGACCTCTGTCTGCAGCATTTGAGTGTGGATGAACTCCTGGGCCAAGCCGTTACAAAGACATTCAAGAAAGAAGGGAAGTTCCACAGTTTATTTGGTCACCCACTGAAGTGACTTTCGGATCTCTATAGAACTTGACATCTATTTTCACTTTCTCAATCTTCATGTCTAGAGACTATCTTGTCCCAACTAGAATTGCAACGTCCTCAGGACCCTGCCTCATTTACTAGAGCATGGACAGATTGCCATCAGGTGTCACTGTACATCTGTATGCATGCGTGAATGTGTAGATGGATATGTAGATGAATGGCTGGGTAGGTAGATGGGTGAATGGAAGGATGCATGGATGGGCGGTGAGGGAAAGGGATGAAAGAGAGAGGAGAGCAGGGAAGGAAGGTAAAATGCAAAAGCTACAGTTAGTTCTACTGCTTTTGATCTGATTACACTATTTGAAGATGAGGGGAAGTTATATCCTTTGTCATTAAATACTGATTAAATACTTCTTATATGGCCGGTACTTGCCAGGAAACACTACAGTGTAAGACATATGGAATCTGATAGAATGTGCACTGGGGTGGGAGCATGAACAATGATAGTGGCTACAATCACCGGGTGTGGTCAGAGCTGTGATGTGGGGACTGCAGGCACTACAGGAAAACTTCCTGGAAAGTGATAGCTAAACCAGGCCTTGAAGAAGGGGTTGCTGTTATCTGTACGAACAGGGCTCAGAACACAGGTGGATGTTTTAGATAGACAAAGAGACATTAGCCCAAGAGAAGCAAGAGCTGAACAGGGCTGAGGAACAGCTGATGCATAGAAAAATACCAGGCAACTGGTCATCAGAGTCACTGCTTTATCCTTCCCTCCTCACCCTGTTGTCCCCTTGGTGGACATCTGTTGTTTTTCTCTGCCTGGGATCATCTAGTCTTCCTCCAAGAACAGCTTCCTGATTTTATTTGAGGAAACCCCCAAAATTCCCCTCCATTATTCTCAGTCCATGGAGTTCGTGGGAAACTGACATGACCTCCAATCCTGGCAGTGGCCATGATTGGCCTGGCCAATTGGCAAACATCATTTCAATCTGGTCATAATGATGAGGACTAATGATCTATACCAGACCACTTAGATGGTACCTTGCGGACCTTATTTGAAATACTGAGAGTGGCACTGTGGTATTAGGAAGAGGGTAGGAGATCAAGAGAGGGCAAACGTGATAGGAGATGCTCACACAGAGGAAAACTAAACCAAAAGGCGCTACACGCTGGTTCCCAAATAATAAAGGAATGAAGGAAGGAATGATAGATGAATAGATAAATGGGTAGGTAGATGGATGCACGATGAACAGGTGGATTACAAAGGATGGATGGATGGATGGATGGATGGATGGATGGATGGATGGATGGATGAATGGGAGAGAGACAATAGGGAAGAAGAGGAAGAAGGAAGGAAGGAAGGAAGGAAGGAAGGAAGGAAGGAAGGAAGGAAAGAAGGAAGGAGCAGAAGGATAAAGGCAAGTTCTCCTTCCTTAGAGCTAGTGAGTATCCTGGAGGGGAAGGAGAGCTGCACTTCCCTG